CGGCTTGGAGCGTACTTTGCCCACTCTCGGACGCTGACGGACACAGGCGCAGAAACGCACGCGGACACGTTAACAACTCTGGAAGATTTCTGTCTCGCTTAATGCATTTCGCTTTATCCGATAATCGGACGATCTGTAGGGGGCAATGTCGATAACAATACAAATTTGATACGAAATTGCGAGTTGCAAAGCAGCGATGACCACAAGAGCGAGAAAGTCAGGAAAGGCAACGACGAGAGAATTACATTTCTACTTCGGCACGAGGTCCTTGCAAGCGCCATCGCTTTAACGGGCCCTCTATTTGACAGCTCACGTGTCTATGTATGTACATACTATATGTACATATTTACATCCGTATGAGTATGGCTAATCTTAAATATCTTGTTCAGATGTAATCGAAATTGTAATGGGTAAAGAAAACCTTCTTGAATATCGGTGCCAAGGTCCAAAACTAAAAACAAGGATGGGTTTGAAGTTGCAGGAAAATGTGGGCACATGCTCGATTGATTTTCTTCAATCGTGCATTTCAAATCTCAACTTGCGAGAAAATGTCTGCCAGTGTAGCCCAAAGACAGACGGCAAAAAGATTCACGGTTTTCTCTCTTGCTTACGCTCTGCCCACCACATCGGCTCGCCGTTCGGCTCGTGACTGTGGGCAGACGATCTGCTTCGGCTTGGTCATCGCTGCTTTAAAGGCAAAAGGCACAAAAAAAGGCAATGGAAAGAAAATTTAGAAATAAAGCAGACGCTTGCTTGCCTTCTCTCTTTGATCTTTCTATTTCGCGTGTTATTGCTCTTGACACTCTCACTTGTTAGCGCACAACAACAAAAATACGCAAATTGCGGATCTCCAATCACAGATCCCGTTTCGAAGCTTCTCGTTTCGTTTGGACTCTCTCCGTTCCGTTGCCCGTTTCCGTAATTGGCGCGCACTCGCGTGTTGATACTCGTTAGCATCAATCTCGACTCGTTCTTATGCGCCTTGGGAGTGGGCACTATCCACAAATATCCACTTATTTAGTGTCCAAATTGACTCTGCCTTAGTTTGTTTGTATTCTTTTCCCAGATTTATTGTAGTTTGAATCTGGCTTGGCTTATATTATTGTGTGTATTGTCTTGATGCCGCCGACGTTGACGTTAAACTGATTTTGAATCGGTGTTTGGAGCGCTTTAGTCCAAGCCGAGCGTACATTTTTCGCCAAGCCTGATTATACCTGGTACTCGAAGAGTATAGGGGTATATTCGATTTGTGGTGAAAGTGCATGTGTGTAACACCCAGAAGGGTGCACTTCCAATCCAAAAAAAACAGATATATTCTTGATTAGCATAGACGAGTCGATATAGCCATGTATGTCCGACTGTCCGTCCGTCCATATGACCGTCTAGATCTCAAAGACTATAAGAGCTATCAAATTTTGTATACAGACTCCTGTGATTTGAACCTGCCACCACAAGGGACGGAAATCTGTGTCATCCACAGATTTGAAGATAGGAGAAAACCGAAAACGCAGAATCGTAGAAAATTACCATATCTAGCCGAATCTGGCTCAGATCAGATCATTATTATAGCCAGAAGGAACCAATACAACCCCCATTCAAGCGATAACTCATCCTCTATCTCTCTCACACACTTTTCATCGTGCAGCAATCGGCTGGTGTTGGTGGGAGAAAAGAAAAAAAGGACAACGATACCAGACAATTTATAAAATACATATATACTGACTGAGTGCCAGATATAAAAGTAGAGCCGCGGCCTTTGCGACGGCTCACAGCGTTCCCGGTCGATTTTTTCTATAAAGCAATCGTTGTGTAGTATATATGTACATCTGTGCGTATGTATGTACCTAAATACATACATATGTACGTAAATACATATGTACAGCCCAATGTTTATAGGCATGGGCAACTGTAATACCGTTTGACTAACTTTAGACTAATACAAACATTCATTCAAGAACAGATTGCATGGTATTCTGATGTGTATAAGGCTTTTGATGTGTGTTTGTGGGGGTGGGATTCTAAAATGCATTGTTCGTAAGCTTTTTATTTTTTATTTTTTGTCAGAGTAGGTTGTATCTACGTTCAGCTCTTTCATGGCATCCAATAGCCAAAGGTCGGGTCATGCTAGAGCGATCAACTAATTGGAGTTATTCGCAAACTCGTGCCATCGCTCGGCACCGTCCACTTCGCATCGATTGGCAACTTTTCCACGGGCTATCCACATAAAGATTGCCCATCGCCACATCAGCTTTTCCCATGACACCTTATCAGGACTGCGGCATATGAGAAGGGCTCTCCAAACAGATTACTAGTCGTAATATATTTGTCTTTCAAACTTTGTTAAGTTTGCGTGACAGGTTCCACTGTCGGTGTTGCCGTTACCGTTGCCGCGAAATATGAATAAGCCCACGAACAGCCAGGCCGAGCGTGTTGAGGATGTTGGCGGACGCTTATAACTAAGCAGCCACTAATTGAACAAAAGCGTTATTAATTAAGCTTCAATCTATTAAAATAGAAAGTAGATCAGACGATTGTCAACCACTCTAAGGTTACAAACGTACACAAAAAGGCAGTGCTTCTCAAAAATGTAAAGGTGAATTTGTCCGTAGAAATATATGTAAATGTTTCTACCTTATTGGCTTCGAACATCGCACTACCATGGCTAGCCCCAGTCCAAATCTTGTCCAATTCGCCATTAAATATAGTTGGAATTAAAGCCGAAAGATGAGAAAATGAACGGTCAAATGCACTCGACTTTATAAACCCAGCTTATCGTCCTGGTCAATAAATCATATCCTCAGGGTCAGCGTTTATTGACTCTGTACTTTTGTCAACATCTACTGATCCCAATGGGCCGAGATTTATTCTTCGTTTACCGGCGCCAGCCCACAAAAGCAGACCGCTGGCAAAAAAAGGTGTTTGCGTCCCAGACTCGTACCCGTTTGTAGAAGGAGCTGTGAGCGACCGAGTGCTGATCGCATCCAATCTCCCTAATATGAGTTCTTTTTTAGTATGGTGGTCCGGCTGCTCCCAAATTAAACGAGGGGGGACGTTGTGAGTTGCTGCGGACACCGCAACTCTACGGTTATACCCGATACTAAGTCAGTATGGCTCTCCTCCGGCAGATGGCGCTAATATTTAACGACACGACAAAGAGTGCGTGCGAGAGAGACAGAAAATCAGTCTGAGCGTGACGTCGGGCGCTGCGTAGCCACTGCAAATTGATTTGTTCCTTTTGGCTATAAAAATGATCTGATCTGATCCAGATTCAGCAATCTGATAGATATGGTCATTATCTATGATTCTGCGTTTTTAGTTTTCTCGAATCTGCAATATTGTGGATGCAACAGATTTTCGTCCTTTGTGTGGGCGGAAGGGGGTGGGGCGAAATTTTGAGATATACTTTTTATAGTGAGATCTAACAGGAGTACGGACACTAAATTTCGTTACTCTAGCCTTAATACTCTCTGAGATTTGTGAATATCCCCAGATTTGCATCCTTTGCGGGGGCGGAAGGGGGTGTGGCGAAATTTTGAAACAAACTCGTCTCGGTCCGATATATTAGGAGTGTGGATACCAAATTTGGTTGCTCTAGCTTTTATAGTCTCTGAGATCTAGGCGCTAATGTTTTACTCTAAGCAAAGCCGCCTATGCTACGTGTGTGTTAGAGAGAGACAGGGCGAGAAAAAATTAAATTGTTTTCGTGATGCTGGCTATAATAATAATACGATCCAATTCAGATTCTGCAGTCTAAAAGATATGGTCATTCTCTACGATTCTGCGTTTTTAGTTTTCTCGTATCGTCAAAATTGTGGATGCCACAGATTTTCGCCCTTTGTGGGGGCGGAAGTGGGCGGGGCAAAGTTTTGAAATATTTTTGGAGCAGTGACATATCACAGAAGTCTGGATCCAAAACATCGTTGCTCTAGCTCTTATAGTCTTTGAGCATTAGGCGCTGAAGGGGACGGACAGACGGACAGACGGACAGACGGACAGACGGACGGACGGACAGACGGACAGACGGACAGACGGACAGACAGACATGGCTCAATCGACTCGGCTATTGATGCTGATCAAGAATATATATACTTTATGGGGTCGGAAACGATTCCTTCTGGACGTTACACACATCCACTTTTACCACAAATCTAATATACCCCAATACTCATTTTGAGTATCGGGTATAAAAACATGCCTACCGCAGATCAGAATTCTTATAAGCTAAGGCTATACAACAACAGCAATCATTATGACAGCGACATATATGTAATTCTGTACTGGTTTAAAAAAGTTTGGAGTCCGACTAAAGCTTTTATACCTGATAATCAAAAAGTAAAGGGGCATATTAGATTATTAGATTTGCGGTGGAAGTAGATATGTGTAACGCCCAGAAGGAAGCGCTTCCGGCCCCATGAAGCATATATATTGATCAGCATCAATGGCCGTGTCGTCCGACTGTCCCTCCGTCCAGATGAGCGTCTAGATCGCAGAGACAACAACAACTAGAGCAACCAATTTTGCATCCATAACTCCTAATATCGACTTACATACAGATAATGTTTATGTAAGTTTTCATAGAGGAAAAGAGATTTATAAAGGACATGCATTTCTTATGACGTTTGCGAAGTGCACTTAAAATAGCATAAATTCTTTGACTGGTCTCATTTTCCTGCTAGAGATCAATAGATATTTTTAAAGTACTCAATTGAGATAAACTAAATTAAAGACTTATATTTCGTTAACGGATAACGGACATCTGGCGCGACACCTTGGGCTTTGATCTGTGCTACAGTTTTGTGACGCACTGTGTTCACATATACATTCAAATAGATTTTAAATTGAACACGCGTAACAGTCACGGCAAATGGCGATCGCAAATAAAGATAATTGACCATGCGTTCCATAAATCACCAGTGCTTTGTTGTCTTTTTGATTGTGTCTATCTCTACGGGAGCAGATAGAATATGTAGAAACACGGAAACAGCAGTTTTGCCTCGAAGTTTGGTCTATGGTCCTGGCTGGACTTGTTTGTATTTAAAATAAGGGTATCAACATAATTATGTAAGATTTTTTTTTGTAATTCTTGGTAACAGTAACAATTAAGTCTAGGAATTAATATTTTCTTGTCTTCGATTGCGCAGCGCCGATCTTGTTTTCGTCGTCCGCCGCGCGCTCTTTCCCGTGCACATGCCAAAAACGCACATGCCCCCTATTTACACTGAAACTAAAAACACACTTGCTAGTTCGTAGAACCACAATGGTCAGATTGAAGAGGAAAGTAAGGCAGGGAACTAAACAACACACATGCAAACGATACATTGAACTAAGTGGGGGAAGAAACAGAAGTAATTGCTAATTGCTGAGTAGACAGTTGGGTGCTCGATTTTACTGCAGTACGAAACACGTGTAGAAATGGATATAGTGTTGAATCAGTTTGGCATGCCGACGCCCTGCTGAAAGCCGAGCGTTTCTTGCTTCTTCTTCATCTCCTCCTGTAACTCCAGAGCTAGCTTCTTGTACTTCTCAGCCTCTTTCTCGTTTTTCTCGATACCGTCGCCTCGAGCATACATCTGGCTTAGGTTGGCACACGCGTACACGTTGCGCAACTCGCACGCCTTGTGGGCAAACTGAAATGCCTTCTTCATGTCTTTGAGCAAAATGTAGTCGGAGTCCTTTAGCGTTTTGGCGGGCGTGGGTCCATTGCCGGTAGCCACAGTACCTGACTCTGTCCTCTTTTGAATGCCAGAGATGTGCATCCCGGACAAATAAAAGCAGGCGTTTGCATTGTTCATGTCGCAGCTCTTTGTGAGGAACTCCAGACCCTGCAATTTAGTAAGAGGTGGTCAGACAAAATCTTCAGATCGCACTCAACTCACCTTGGGCACATTTCTGTCAATCTCTTTGGGCATGGAGCGCGAGACAAGCAACAGGCCAGAGTGGAGGCAGGCATCGGAATCGTTTAAGTTGCATCCCTTCTCGTAGTACTGGTACGCCACTCGGGGCTCACCCTTGCTGCCGCTCTTTCCCTTTCCCAAAATGCTATAGTTGCCAAACTTATAACAGGACTTTGCGTAACCATAATCGTCACAAGTCGATTTATATACCTTTGACGCTTTTTCAAAGTCCTTCTTGATGCCCTCAAGATAGTCTCCCAGCAGGTGGCAAGCTGCGAATATATTTCACGCATATACATATGAAAGTGTTATCTCAGGTCACGATTTGTTTTGTAATTAAAATAGGTAAGCACAGAAACATAGGTTATAGCAGAGTTGTTATTGCTGTTTGCATGTGTTTACCTTCCGGTTTCTTCTCTGAATAACAGCCAAATCGATACTCGATGCCCAGCTTTTCGATGTACTCCTTTACATCTGACTCCTTTTTTAAGTCGTATGCCATTGTTTCAATTTTTAATTAACATAAACTTTAAATATGTTGTGTTAGTTTCGGCCTTTTGTGACAAGTGTTGGAAAACACAGCTGATATTCTTTGCTTTTCTTACGCGACATATCGATATTTAAACGGAAAAAAGAGTAAATATAGTTGTTATAATACTATAATACTCTATTCACACAAGCTATTTTGGGATCATCCGTAAGGTTTTACTGTCCGAAAATCTACTTCCATTCACCTGAGATGTTTTAGTCCGCACGTTTCTATCCGATATTTCGCCGATAGTTTTTAAATGCAACCCGAAATAATTGACATTCACAGAGAAAGGAAGCAAAATACAAATAATTGGCGCCTAAAATCGCATTCAAAAATTTTTAAATTTCAGATACAATTTCCATTATTTCCTGGACTCCTTTAGAAATAATGGAAATTTTAAAAGATTTAATGAATACATAAAAACAGTGCATGCATATGTATGTATTTACAAACAAATATAGTTTTCACACTTATATGCTAGCTTGGGTTTGACCAACTTTGCAATGGCTGATCTAAGCTCAGAACAAACCTTTGTGATGGTGGATTGACTAAGGTGTGTATCGGTTTTTCACATCTTTGAAATTCCCACCGCTCTACTTTTTCGGCGATGAAACATGTGTATTGTAATTTTTTAAAGTTTAACAAGGGAAAAAATGACGACATATATGTATGTATGTATGAAACTGACCCGGTGGCACAGATTTATTGGCACAATAGCCGCAAAAGCATGCAGTTCTCTATGCTAACGGCAAGGCCTTGCCGACCGGACTTCATCGATCTGCTTCCCGAACAACGACGCATCTAGCTGAAACCAGAAGCAGTGTCCTTGCCTGGGCGCCACTACAACAAAAACAACTGATCCGTTTTTTCCTGCAAGATAAGTGCCTCTATGGTGAAAACTTTGACTGTCGTGTAATTTCGAGCCCGTTGACTTCAGGGGCGAAATCATCTCGACATTTAGGACCTTGACCCCGCTGCAGCGGAGGGAAAAATCCCAACTTATTTGTATGTGTTAGGTTAAAGTTAGGTTCCGATGACATCGCCAAACTAAAAAACTTCAAGGAAGCAATCATTGACGATTCCGAATTCCCAGGCTGATCAGGAATATTTTCTAGTCCTGTCCGAGAGGGATCTATTCTTTACCTTCGTTTATCTTCTACGAGTTCGATGTGTATAAGCCGCAGAATAACACAGCACAGGAATATCCTGCATCCTAGAAAGGGACCGATCTCCTGAGGCGCTGTAGAACCTGCTAATGACCGAAGATGGCGTTTGTTACTGAGACACAGATCTCGCCGTTATTGTCAAAGTCGATCCTCAAACACAAAGTTATTGTAATTTATCGGGGTAAATAAAGACATACAAAGTTGTGATACTACAGCACAGTGTCCCTGTCATCAACAAACCCTTCTCCGCTTAGTGTGGCGTCGGTTAGAACAAATATTAGCTATTGCTATTGGCCGAGCCGCTCGTGCGGTAGTCAAACAGTTTAGGTATCACATCGCCGCATTTGGCCGAAATTTTGATGTCAGCCAAGTGGTCGGCCCGCGTGTCTCCAATGTTTACAATCGCCACCGGCAACTTGAGGTCCTTGGTCTGCAGAACGATGCGGTAGCCGGAAAAAACCAGCAGACTAGAACCAAGCACTAACAGGCCGTCGCTATTGTAGACCATTTCAGCGATCTTATCGAGGCGCTGCCTGGGCACGCAGTCCCCGAAGAAGACAATATCTGGCTTGAGATCGCCACCGCACTGCGGACAGTCAGGTATTTTGAAGTTTTCTATATAATCGAGTGGAATCTCCACATCACCATCGGGCCGTGTCATTTCCAGCACATTATTGAAGGTGGAATTAAGGGAGGCCAAAATGTGCTGAAACTCGTGGCGATCAGTGCGATACTCGCAGGACAGGCACTTTATCACGTAACCACTGCCATGCAGTTCTACCACGTTTTTGGTGCCAGCCTTGGTGTGAAGGCGATCGACATTCTGGGTGACCACCGACTGAATGCGCATTTCGCGTTCGAAACGAGACAGAGCATGGTGTGTTGCGTTTGCCTGTTTACCGGAGAAGCTCGGCCAGCCCACAAAGTTGCGTGCCCAGTACCGTTTGCGTACGTTGGACGATTTTAAAAACTCCATGTGCTGGATGGGCTTGTGGTTGGTACGGGCGTAAAGGCCGACACCCTCGGAACGATAGTCGGGTATACCTGGTGAAAGCAACAAGGGTTTCATGATTGTTCTGCGTACAGCTAGAGTTAATTATGTTTGATCAATATAAGTCACCTGATTCCGTTGAGATTCCTGCACCGGTCAACACAACTACATTTGGTTTCGAGAGCAAAAAATCCTCCAACCGCTTTATATCATCGTCCAGCGCCGGCTTGTGCTGTGGCACATATTGCTGCTTGATGCTGCACCTCTGCAGAGAAGTGCTGCGAAATCTAAGTAAGTTACTTACTCGCATTGTTTTGTTTATATATCCTATAGAATATTATGCAAATTACATAACACTGATCTATCGATAATGCATCGCATTTCACTACACTTCAATTGCAGAGAGAGTGAGACCAGCAACAAAAACCTTAAAGCCTAGTACTCAGATCAACAAAATTTTCTATTGATTGAAAGCCATATGTATATACTTCGCTTGGGACAGAGAATGATCAGGTGCACACGCTCACTTTTATGTATTTGTTTACCAATAAAATCAGTTGAAAATTCAAATTTGTATGACATTATGCCAGAATGAATTGTTTGTGGGCGCTGTGCCTCTGGAAGATAACGATGCACGGTGAAGGCATAGCCATATTGGATAAATCGGTTCTTGTGAAACAGAAATGCAATCAACATCTTCTTTAACTGCTTATAAATTAATGAAATGACTGCCGGGTATAAAACTAATAAATTATAAAATCCATATATTCGGCTTTCATTTTACTGCTTAATGAGATTAAAGTTGTCTTCATTATTTCATTTTTCTAGCCGACTTACACATTTTCTTGCTTCCCTCCATTTTTGGCTGGCATAGCATGTCGACGAAAGATAGAATATAAAAATATTCCGCTCGTGCCCAGCAAATACCATCTTTGCTTTTCCAGTATGTATCGGTTGAATTTCAAGTATTTATCGGTTTTATATTTTGCTGATCTGAGCAATAATTTCCATCGAACAAAATATAGCATGTTTTTTATCGTTTCCATACGAATATCATCACTGATTCGGGCAATGGAAATATTTACTGATCTGAGTACGGTGTTGTTATCGAATCGTATAAAATACCGATTAATACTAGAAAGGAAAATGATTCATTTTTTGCTGGGCACGAGCACTAACCAAAAAGTAACTTCCCTAACCGCAAAAAAAATCACCAAGTGTGGCAATCGTGCACTGTCTGTACCTGATATCGCTATCCGTTTCGATAGCAGCTTGATGAAATTTTGCCATCTCTACAGCAGCGGCCGCAGAGTTGTAAAAAGAAGACAATTAAATAAATTTAACGTGTAGTTTTGTATGTGTACGAAAAATTTCGCACTCATAATAAACTTAGTTGAAAGTCAATGGTCGATTAAATTTGCCATCACTTTCGGCTATACAGTGGAGTAAAGCTTACCGACATAACAACACACATTCTCCTGTGTGGCGTTTGCGCGTATCGCTGTGGTGTGCTTGTGTGTGGTTGCATTTAACTGTGTGTGTGTATTCTGTCGGCTTATATTTGCACGCACGCCAACATTTGGAAAATATATAGAAAAGGCGAAAGCAAAGAAAAGTCGGCAAAATGTCCTACCCCCCGCGTCCTCCAATGCCGCCCTACATGAATGCGTCAATTCCGCCACCACACGTAAGATAAACCTGTAGTTCCATCAACTATGTCGGCCAACAGCACTAATATGGTCGATTCCATCTATGTTTGCAGATGATGCAGTCCATGGGCAATCCGCCGCGCAGCTTTCGGAACTCAGCCACAATCAGCTCTCAGCCGACAGTGTATCACCGCCCGCCGGAGCCACAACCTCAGTTCCGTGGACCAATCATAACCGTGTTCGTGGGCAACATAAGCGAACGGGTCCCTGAGGCTCTGCTCAAACGGATCCTCGCCACCTGCGGCATGGTCATCAACTGGAAGCGCGTCTCCACATTCGGATTTTGCGAGTTCGAGTAGGTTATCGCAGTGATTCGACGAACCCAAGGTAGCAGTGAACGTTTTCGCCCTAATGGGAACACTTTAAGGTTCACTTCTATCTCATTTGTCTGTCATTGGTGATTGGTACGTGATACCTGATACTCTTCTAACACGCAACTTTGCATTATTTCAGTGGCCCTATTGCGGCGATGCGGGCCGTTCGCTTGCTCAGCGAGATGGAAATCGATGGGAAGAAGCTGGTGGCCAAGGTGGATGCGAAGAATAAAGTACTCATCGAAGACTACAAGGAGAAAGAATGCAAGAACGGTGAGGGAGCGAATGCTGTGGACGAAAAGACTGAAGACGAACGTGCCGTCAACCAGATGCAAGATCTGCTCGAAGAGCACAAGCACGAGTTCGAAGGCTTCGATGGGAGTACTCGCGGTGATCTCTATGGGAGTAGTAACCGCAACAAGAAGACGCGTCGGGAGGATGACATCAAGATCAAGGTCCTAAACGAGAATGCACTGGAGGAAGAGAAACGCAATCTGATTAGCAGCGAGATCGGCAAGTTTCGCAAACGTGCGGAAGCCGATGAGCATCGCAAGGAGCTGGAGAAAGAGAAGGAAAAGGAGAAGCTGGCCGCCAGCAAGGAGAAGGAGCGCGACAGGGAGCGGAAGAAGCAGCAGCGGGACAGCGAGCGCAAATCTTCCACTAGAAAGGCCAGTGCCTCCGAAGTTGACGACGTTGTCGAGATCGTTGAAAAGGATGTTACAGCACCTGCCTCGACTGGAACCGGTTCGGCCCCCACTGCCCCTGCCCCTGCCACTGGCTCCGCTTCCGCCTCCGTCTCGGCGCGCAGTAGCAGCAGCCGCAAGGAGCCCGTGACCATCGATATGACACAGAAGGAGCGACGGCCCGAAACGAAGGAGGGCCGACGTCGCCGCTCCAAATCCCGTTCCAAGGATCACGAGCGCGAACGTGAGAGGGAGCGTGATAGGGAGAGGGAGGCGCGTGAGCTCCGTGAGAAGGAGCGTGAGCGCGAGCGTGAACGTGAGCGGGAGCGCGAGAGGGAGCGTGTCGAGCTCCGGGAGCGAGAGAGGGAACGAGAGCGCAATGAGATGCGAGAGCGTGAGAGAGAACGAGAGCGGGACAGAGAGCGCGAACGCGAGGAGAAGATCCTCAAGCCAGTGCGCGACCTGCGGCGCGAGAAGGAAATGGAGGAGGAGACGCGCGAGCGCAAAAAGGCAGAGAAGAAAGCCCGCGAAAAGGAAATCGCCTACCAGCAGCGCCTCTCCAACTGGGAGATGCGCGAGAAGCGCAAATGCAAGGAGAACGAGAAGGTAGGAGAGTTCATCCTTACACACGTCTTGCACTATTTCATTTGGTTTCATTCGTTTCTTTCGACAGTACCGCCTGAAGGAGGTGATGCGTCATGACGAGCGGGAAAGCGATGCCAAGCGCCTGAAAGAGTTCGTCGAAGATTACGACGATGAACGCGACGACTCGCTGTACTATAAAGGTCGGGAGCTCCAGCAGCGTCTGGCAGAGCGTGTACGCGAAGCGGATGCAGATTCTAAGGACCGAGAAAAGGAGGCGGACGAACTAGCCGAACTGAAGACCAAAATCTTCAGCGGTGAGTTCGAGAATCCTTCGCTGGAATACGAGAAGGCCCGCCGCGAAATCGAGAAGCTGTACGAACCGCGCATTCTTGTAACCGTCAACCAAGAGCCAGTAGCCGGCCAGCGCGATCGCCTGGCTAAGCAATCGGCTGCAGGGGCCGCGACAGCTGACAACCAGGACCCATCCCTGATACCGGCGGAGAAGCGGCGCAAGGAAATGGTGGCCTACGATCCAGACTTGGCTGAACACAACGATGATTCCATATCAAACGATGATCATGGTTCCATAGCCGACACTGCCTCAAATGCCAGTGCCTATGCGAAGAACAACAACAAAAAGTCGCCTTCGCGTCAAAACAGTTTAAGCCGGCAGAATAGCGAGTCCAGGGACTCGGTGGCCGACATCCACACGCCTTCTCAGAGTGCCATGAATGACCTGGCGGCTGGGAACGATTCGGTCATGGTCCATTCGGCCACTCCCCCCATCACCATGCCGCTCATCTCGCTCACTCTGGGCAACAACCTCAAGAAGAAGAAGATCGAGGCCACAGGAGTCTTCGTCAACGACGACGACAACGACGAGAACATCAACCCCAAGAAGCGCAAGCTGGTTCCTCTAGGTAAGACAGTGGGACCATCGCACAATCACATGAACCATTGCCTAACATTTAATTCCATCCCACACAAAGATTACGACGACATGAGCAATGAGCAAGATCACCAGGCTGGCAGCGGTGGGAACAGCAGCAGTATGACTGCTGCGGAACGCCAGAGCTCTGCCGTGTCTGCGGCCACAGCTGCTGCCGCTGCTGTTAGCCAGAAGATAGCCCAAGCTGGCGGGGGCTCTGGGTCCGGATCAGCGTCGTCCGGGAGTGGGAGCGGCGGAAAAAGCAACAACAGCGCAAACGCCAGCAGCCAATCGGGCGGCAAACATCACAGTAGCAAACACGGTAAGAATGATGCAGCTGCATCTGCGACCAACAGCGCAGATGCTGCCGCGACAAACACCAAAAAGGATGAGAATGGTGCAAAGGTGTATGATGAAAAACGGCGCCATATAAAAAGCATTATTGACAGGATACCCACGCAAAAGGAGGAACTATTTAATTATAAACTTGACCGCAACGAGATCGATAGCGGTCTAATGGAACGAAAAATACGTCCATGGATAAATAAGAAAATCATTGAGTATATTGGTGAGCCGGAGCCGACTTTAGTGGACTTTATATGTTCCAAAGTTTTGGCCGGCAGCCAGCCCCAGAGCATCCTGGACGATGTGCAAATGGTAAGCTGTCCCTTGAGCCGCTTAACTTTAACTGAAAACTAATCCAAACTTAATTTCTCTGCTGCTCTTTCACTCACTTTGCTCACGGTGCTGGTGCTCCTGCAGGTACTGGATGAGGAAGCTGAGGTATTTGTAGTGAAAATGTGGCGACTGCTCATTTACGAACTGGATGCCAAAAAGAGCGGCATTTCGGGCAAGTAGAGGCGGCAACCGGATCGCGACCAGATCTGTGCTGTACGAGAGACGAACGATATACGTTGATAGATCTTAAGTTATACTTACGGAACCTATACGACTACAAAATGTATATAAAGGGCATGCTCCGGGAATTGTTGCGGCCAAATGTCGAGCTTTGTTTTATAAGCGTCCTCCTTCTTTCTTAAGCAATAGCGCATCCTCAACGACTTCTCAATCCACCTTGTTAGCGATAGCGGTAATTGCCACATCGAATCGCCGATAAATGTAAATACACTCTTACTCGAAGAGTAAAACAAAACAAACAGACACCAAGAACAGAAGCAAAATCAGCTCCAAACGAAAACCACAATGTCGCAAACCCATGAACATTTCAGTCAGCGTGACTGTTAAGGCTTTTTCCGCTTAGATGGAAAAGGGGATATCGTACTAGTATACATACATATATTACAATGCACCTTCATTATAATTTTAGAAACTACCATAAACTGTCGTGCCGATTGGACTTGTGTTGCTATTCTACATCCTTCCTAAGTTTCACTAGTGACATCAAAGTCAATTTACTCTGTACGCTATTTTTTCGGAAAGTATGTAGTTCACGAAAGAACATTTTGACTTGAAAGAAAACGGAAATGTCATTTAAATAAAAACAAAACATGAAAGGATAATCAGCTTAATATATTTTTGGGTTTCGATAATGACGGGGAAGAAAATATGATCTAACATCTAACAGAATGTTTCCTTTGGATCAGATCGAAGACAAGGTGAATCCCCTGCCACGCGCTCGCTCTCACTCTCTCTCGTCGAGTGGCGCCCCTATAACGACTGGATGGTATCTCGTTGGGAAGAGAGAGAGAGAGGGAAAGCAAATTGCAGTACGATTTGCGGTAAAGACAGGAATATTTATCATTAGGTGGAAGGAGCATAAACGGAGTGCAGGAATATATAGTGTACAAGTTGTATAATTCCTAATATTGGATATACGCGACTCACGTTACAGCTGGTTATTACCTTTAGAATGAGTTATAGATAAGCCCTACTGTGCATTCCCTGCCTTCTATGTATGTGAATATGAATGTATGAACCGATTAATAAGCTATTAATAAGCGTCACTCACTGAGCTCATTGGTAAACAAATGTTTTGATTTAGGTAGATAAAGAAACTTCGAACCTTCCTACATTTGCCAATAAGTATTGACAGTTGGAGTTATTCTTCGAATCTATTAGTGTTTGCGATCCTTAGAGACAAACTAGCTTGAATGCACGAGCATGGGCTTTATAGGCGAAACAAATTGAAGGGTTAGTTTGACTTTATGCTAATGATATTGAAACAAATAAGAAAATACACGCTAAAAATTTGACAAAGCACACATAACATCTGGTTGAAATACACGAACGTCAACAATTACACGTCGAGGCAGGTTTCTCGTGAACGTCATTGCCTCCAATATCCATGCCATCGGAGCCATATCCGTTGCCAAAATACTCCGAGGATACAATCTGCAAGAGAAAAATGGATTATTTCTGAACATACATATACCGAACTTCACCATGTAATCAGTTACCTTCTCAACAACGTCCTTGAACACATCACTAACGAACTGGTCGCATTTGGCCGAGGTCTCGATGAAGAGTGCACGATGCTTTCGGGCAAACTTGCGCCCCTCCTCGCGATCGACAACACGCTCCTGGTCGATTTTATTTCCCACGACGATTATGGCTATGTTGGGATTATCGCTGTAGCTGTCCAGCTCGGCCAGCCAGGCCTCAAGTTTGACCAGGGAATCGCGGTTCGTGATATCGTAGACCAGGATGGCGCCAAGAGCCTTCCGATAGAAGCTTGGTGTCAGACTGCGAAACCTTTCGGCTCCCGCAGTGTCCCAGAGTGCTACTTTGTAGTCAATTCCGTCGACATTCATCACCTTGCTTTTAAAGTCCATGCCAATTGTGACGTCATGATTCTCGTCGAATTTGTTCTCGACAAAGCGCCGTATTAAGCTATTAGAAAAACATGATGCAAACAGTGAAACTTCTAGCTTATATCTGGTGCGTAAATATATGTATATATACAATGGAAGGGCGTTCGTATATGGAATATACGCAGCAGGTCTAAGGCACTGAAATATATACATACATATGTATATAACATACCTGGATTTGCCTACACCACTTTCTCCGATGACTAACAGCTTGATAGCCCTATCAGCCATTGTTATCAATTAATGTGTCTGTTGTGCTTTTTTAAAGAACTCATTGGCTCTTATTTATTTGTAGAACTATTGCGGATCTAAATATACAGCGAATCTTTGGCGAGCACGGTTGCGAGTTGTTTACATGGCTCGACGCTGCAATGAGTTCGATAAGTCTAAATTGCAGCTCAGAATGAACCGATTCTTTGCATCGATATTCTTTTTGTCGAAGAATATTCAATATATTATCTGAACGAAATACTCAGATTTCTTTTAAATAATCGTAAAAAATTTAGTGCAAATATGCCACCTAGTTATAAGAATTTCCATGCATCCAGAGCAAAATGAACCAAAGCGACTTTAGTTCGATGACAGTGAATTTGAACCAGCGCGCTGGTTCATTGCGTGGTTCCGAAATCGGTTTGACGTCAACCAGTTATCGTTCCTTCTTTCTTTTTTGACGTGACCAGCGAGAAAAATGGTTGGTGCCGATTTTGTGTGAAAAATAATCTATGAAAATAACAGACATCCGTGCATAATACATAAAAAAAATGTGTGAAAATCAAAGACAGCAATACCTAATTTGTGATGAGAATAATATTTGTTTTAGTGCTTTCTGAATAACTAATAATTCGATGATTTTTTGCCTCACTCAGGTAAAGGTCAAGTGCTCCGAGCTGAGAACCAAGGACAAGAAGGAGCTCACCAAGCAATTGGATGAGCTCAAGAATGAGCTCCTCAATCTGCGTGTGGCTAAGGTCACTGGAGGAGCGCCTTCCAAGCTCTCCAAGATGTAAGTAGTGTTTTGCCCAGCTCCCTTGCCTCAAGACTTACCGACTTGTTTGTTTTGCAGCCGTGTGGTGCGCAAGGCGATCGCTCGCGTTTACATTGTCATGCACCAGAAGCAGAAGGAGAACCTGCGCAAGGTCTTCAAGAACAAGAAGTACAAGCCCCTGGATCTGCGCCGCAAGAAGACTCGCGCCATCCGCAAGGCTCTGTCGCCTCGCGATGCCAACCGCAAGACGCTGAAGGAAATTCGCAAGCGTTCCATCTTCCCTCAGCGCAAATATGCCGTCAAGGCATAAATACTGCAGCAATTAGTTCTGTTGCATTTCTTGAGGACGTTAAGAGTTATCCAGCAAATAGAAGAAAACGAAAAATAAACAATTTTTTTAATGTGATTACAACTTTTTGTTTGCCATGCTGGGAGCGTCCCAAATTGAAGTGTGAAAAACGCGTGTGCCTCAACTTATGAATGATTTTGTGGTTCGATTCCTAATGGCTTCATAACGCTCAACCAGCTGTCGTAAATAATCTTTACGTAAAGTAGAATTTAGGCTTTGGTTCGAGCCGTAACCAATCCTCTATAGGGGTTCCAGTTCCCCCACACAAATTCAGTTTAATCAAACGTAGACCTGGCATTCTAAATTGATCTAAAGTTATATTTATTTCGGTTGCTTCCGATTTCATACGCGGTTCAATACACGTATATGTACATACATAAATTAGGAAGTAATTGGTAGGTAATTGGTATGATGAACAGCTCTAATGCAAAGGAAGAGGCTCGACATCGACTCAATCATACTGAATATGTTTGGCACATTTGGTTAGTACTGTTCTTTTGAACAGCGTGAAAGAGCGGAGTGCTGCGGATGACGCCCGAGAGTTCCTTTGAGTTTTTGCTTTGGTGATAGTTCCTGCTTGGCATCGGCGACAGGGGCTCGCCCCAGAACTTGAGAAGCGCAAATATCTTGTAGTAGGCCACTCTGCAAGAGCAAGGATATACATATATTATCGGTTGGGAAGGGGGGCGGGGGGAAAGGAAAGCCATGCCACTTGCCTGTAGTTGCGATTGCTAGCCGCGTAAATGATCGGATTGATGACGCTGGAGGCCCAGGCCATGACTGAGGCTATTATGTGCAGCCAGGGATAGGAGGTTTTCCGCTCATCGTCCACCACATTGGCCAGCATCAGTGGCAGAAAGCAGATGAGGAAGCACAGGAAGATTGTCACCATCATTACAGTGAGTCGGTTGTCCTCGCGCACCTTTCTCGTGCACGTTGTCGTCACGTACGAGCCCCCAGACTCCCCCTTGCCCGCCGCTTTGGCGCCAATCTGGAAGTTGTCGTGGCTCCGGATTTTCCTCTTCTGGTGCAGCACAGTAATGTAAATGCAGGAGTAGGAGATTATGATGACCAGGCAGGGCAGCAGGAAACCAATAAGGAAGAGCGTCTTCTTGATCGACTTGCCCTCCTTCTTGAGTATTGTGCAGGAGAACGTCGCCTCGTCCAGTCCCATTTCCCCCCAGATCCCCAGAATGGGTGGCAGCTGTAATATTCAATTTGATATTTCCCACACTTAATCGCTGTCCATTTTGTACTCACCAGAAGCAGAAAAGACACGGCCCAGACAAAAACCAACTGCAGCGTTATGAGCCTAGGCTTGTAGATCTGGGAGTATCGGCTATGGCAAGCGATGAGTATGTACCTGCAAGGGGATTACACCAGGGTGTGGATTAGTCAAGAGCCTTCGCAGAGCGGCTTAGCCGCCAGCTCCTACCTATTGAGGGTGATTCCCACCATGCTGAGAAGTGAGACGGCCACGTTGCCGTAGAAGATGACAGGGAATATCTTGCACAAGGTGGTGCCGAAGGTCCAGCTCTGTGGTGGAAACGAGTTACTGATTGTTGAATGGCCACTGTGTGTACGGGGTCGGACTCACCTCCTGGAAGAACCGAACTGCTGTCAGGGGCATGCTGAAGGAGCAGAATAGCAGGTCTGATATGCTCAGGGATATGACAAAAGCTGTCGTCGCATGCTCCCGTATCGTCGGGCTCTTGAGCAGAGCCAGCAGAGTGATTAGGTTTCCTGGTGCAGAAGTAGTTAAGCAGGTTAGCAGATGCCAGACGAAGGTACACACTTCATTCACTCACCTAGCACGCCGATGGTCGTGAAGACGCAGGCACTGATGGCGGCAAACATTGTTGCCGAATGCGGGTATATCGACTGGGATGCGGGGGCACCCAGGTCCACGTTCATGTCCATGTCCATGCTGGAATATAGAGACGGAGGAAAGAGTTATTTAAAGCTACAGATTAGATAAATGGGTACATCCAATTATGATTGAATTACCCTTAACAAACACCTAGCACTATGTACATATGTGTGCCAACAAGTGATCTTCTTTGAACAAGCAGACGGGTATTGATTTTGCGGCACGCAGACCGGCGGAAGGAAGGTAAATGTATGCATTCCTTATCAGGATCGGTGGCAGCACATTGTAGACTTTAAAGGCGCCAGCAGGTCTGGCTTAGAGCCCCCTTTGACCACTGTTCCGAAGATATGACTCCGCCCTACACGCACGTGAATTGATCGAACACCCGTATAAAGTCCGGTATGTAAGTGAAAGTGCCGAAAAGACATGTTTCTAGGTCTGAAACGATGTGCCAAAATCCTGCGGAAGCGATTGGCTCAGACAAACTTGATCTCATGGATAAGCGAGGAAGTCTGCGAACTCCGAATGCTTCTCTCGTGTTGGTTTTCAGTCGCGACATTTGATTTATGCGCTCTGAATTTGTTATAAGATTTCAACTGGACTGGTAATATATGAGTGTAGTAATGATCAATCCGGTTTTCGAATGATTACAATCTGCATGGCTGGCGACATGTCCCATCTGAACTTCCTCGTCAGAAAGACAAAGCAGTCTAGCAGTCTAGGTCTTTCAAATTTCAAAAACCAAAGAGTATAAATCTATAATTATGTAGATTAGTGTAGATGGGATTCCCTAATGAGATGAAAGCTGTAAGTCAGCACTGGATAAAGGACACATACATATGTTTGCAATAAATTCAAGATTATTATACCCGATACTCAAAATGAGTATTGGGGTATATTAGATTTGTGGTCAAAGTGGATGTGTGTAACGTCCAGAAGGAATCGTTTCCGACCCCATAAAGTATATATATTCTTGATCAGCATCAATAGCCGAGTTGATTGAGCCCTGTCTGTCTGTCTGTCCGTCCGTCTGTCCGTCCCCTTCAGCGCCTAATGCTCAAAGACTATAAGAGCTAGAGCAATGATGTTTTGGATCCAGACTTCTGTGATATGTCACTGCTACAAAAATATTTCAAAACTTCGCCCCGCCCACTTCCGCCCCCACAAAGAACGAAAGTCTGTGGCATCCACAATTTCGACGATATGAAAAAACTAAAAACACAGAATCGTAGAGGATGACTATATGTTCTAGAGCGTAAAATCTCAACCAGATCGTATAATTATTATAGCCAGAATCAAGAAAACAATTTCATTCTTTCTCGCTCTGTCTCTCTCTAACACACAGGTTTCATGGTCGGTTTTCCCAATTGCAAAATATGAGTTCAAGGATCTCAGAACCTATAAGAGCCAGAGCAACCAAATTTGGTATCCACACTCCTGTGATATCGGACCTTGACCGTTTTGTGTCAAAATTTCGCCGCACCCCCTTCCGCCCCCGCAAAGGACGAAAATCTGGGGCATCCACAAATCTCAGAGACTATTAAGGATAGAGTAACCAAATTTGATATCCGCACTTCTGTTAGATATTACTATAAGACGTATATCTCAGAATTTCGCCCCACCCCCTTCCGCCCCCACAAAGGACGAAAATCTGTTGCATCCACAATATTTCACATTCGAGAAAAATAAAAACGCAGAATCATAGATAATGACCATATCTATCAGATTGCTGAATCTGGATCAGATCAGATAGTTTTTATAGCCAAAAGGAACAAATCAATTTGCAGTGGCTACGCAGCGCCCGACGTCACGCTCAGACTGATTTTCTGTCTCTCTCGCACGCACTCTTTGTCGTGTCGTTTAATATTAGCGCCGTCTGCCGGAGGAGAGCCATACTGACTTAGTATCGGGTATAACTGTAGAGTTGCGGTGTCCGCAGCAACTCACAACGTTCCCCCTCGTTCTCTCTGTGTTTTTTCCATCTCTCATGACAAGTGCAAGCAAAGTTCATGGAAATCCCGGAGAGATCCCGCTTCCAGCATTATGCAACAAATCCATTCATCCCTTCTACGAACAGCGACACAAAAGATAGATAGAGAGAGAGAGAAAGAGCCTGAGTCACTCATCGGCTCCGACACCAATTCTGGCGCTTACGCATAATATAAGATATATTTTATAGGTTACATATCAAAGACTGATACGTACACTGACTGAGTACCGTGTTTGCATGTAGAGCCGGTGCCCTTGACTTTTGAAAGCTCTGAAAAATTCACTAAAGCGCTCATAAAATTCTCTCTCCAGCTGGTTTTTATAATGACTCCTATACCCAGATTTGTATTTCTGTACTGGAAATCCCCTCTGATTAGGGGTCTACGTAGCTTATCGGGCATTTATTGCGAGTTTAAACTTCTTGAAGGAAACCATTTGCAGAGGATATAATATATTTAAATTGAACAGAAGCTTCTTAGGGTGAAAATCTTATAACAGTGGGATCTAACAGGAGTTTGGATACGAAACTTAGTTTCTCTAGCTCTTATAGCCTCTGAGATCTAGGTGCTCATAGTCGGATATTGATGCTGATCAAGAATATATACATACATATACTTTATGGGTTTATGGTACCCTATATGTATATGTACAACAGCTTTTAAAAAGAGTGTCTGCCAAAATAAGAGTATCGTTTTGCAATAGGTGTCCGCTCAGATCGGAGGAGAGAGAGTATAGACTTCGGCTCGCCGAAGTAGCTTCGTTCTACCTTGATAATATTTTAACCGTAGATTTTATCTTAGTGGTAAAGATGTACCGGGTCTGTAGGTATGTATGTATGTACATACATATATGTATGTATGTCCATATATTTTTGATCAGAATCGATGGTATGATTTGAAGTACTAGCTACATACATACAAAGCTTGAAAGCTTCTGTCGAAACGTTGAATCGTCGAAAACTGAACCAAAAGCTGAGTGAGTGCACATGTTCTGTGACTCTTAACAATGTGCAAGAATCAAGTGTTCTTCTGTACTCCAATGCCTACTGTCGGGATTTGTAATGGTTATCTTTGCGGACCGGCATGGAGTTATCAGCGGCAATTTTAATGTATTTTTTACGACCAATTCAATTTTAATTTTCTTTTTTTTTCGAGTTGATAAGTGGCGCAGAAGCGGCGCCCGCACTGGAGGCATTCTTGCAAGTTGCAGTCCCCCTCCACCGCACACACACGCACAGACACCCACACAGCACACACACAGACACAGACACAGACACAGGCACAGAGTTTTCAACGCACCTAATATGGTATGAAGTGGGTTCTGTTCCCAGTTTTGCGCTCTTTGGAAAGTCAACAGAACAGAAGAACTTGCACGAACTTGACAACGCGTCAAACAATATACAGATGTGTGTGTGTGTGTGTGTGTGTGTGTGTGTGTGTGTGTGTGGGTACAACGGAAAACAATGAATCAATGGAAATCTCAATTAGCCCGGGGTTTGAGCACCACGAGGGGTTTTCTGCCGCGCAAGCATAAATTCAACGAGCGGCTTAAATTGCTTTGCACACACACAATTTCATTTATGATTATTTCTTGTTATTTGGATTTGGATCGGTTAAATTAAAATGCGCCATGTTACGCATTTAAATATGTATGTTTCCGGTGCATGGAACGTTCTCCGAACGCTGCAGCACCACCGACACCACCGACACCAGCAGCAGCAGCAGCAGCACCACCACCGCCAGAAAGGCAGCTGGGGTGAGGGCTAAACGAATCGGTTTCTTTCATGCATGATCAACATGTGTGTTTGTTTTCAGTTCTCTCCGTTTTCGGACAGGGGGAGCCCGCAAATGGAAATCTGTACACGCATCCAATCCCGGGCCCACTCCATCTCATCCCGTTCCCAGGGCTGCGCGAGTGTACACAACACACAGCGAAGCCCCCTCCCCCCAGCCAGTTGGCAATGATGATGGCACAGATATCAGAGATAACGCTCCCCCACTCGGGCCGAGCGGATTACTCCCCACCGAAACGCATTGTGCACACACAGCTAAGCAAATAGGAGCTTAAAACATATGTAACAACATACATATGTACATATGTATGTATGTATGTATGCATGTTGTATGTTTGGAGTTGCACCCCAAACAGTCTTATCAGCCTTGAATTCCCACAAGTCGAAATTCCTCAGAATACCAAGACAAGAACCGGAACCCCAAAAACTTATCGATCAAACAATTTACATGTGCACACAATATATGTATATATAAATATATGCCAGTGGTACCATTTAAGCTTATTTAAGGCTATATCTAGAGTTTGTGTACCCATTATAATCAATGCGTAGGAGGGGTATACTAGAAAACAGAGTCCTTAGTTCCCTAGTCCTTGCAGGCGTTAAACGGATGTGGCTATAGCGACTCGACTATTGATGCTGCTTAAGAATACATATACTTTATGGGGTCGGAAACGTTTCTTCTGGCTGTTATGTTTTAAGGTAAAAAAAAGACATATCGAATGGATCGAGATTCATAGACTAAAATTCATCACGATCTGATAATTATTGCAGCCAGATTTACCCCTAATCAAAGAACGTTGAAGTTAGATCGGTCATATGTTTTCTATGCCTTTGACCCTAGTCATAAGAGTTGTGTACAATTTGGGTAGAGATTGAACACATTGGTAATTTCATAATTGCGTGCCAAAATGATGGCGATGTTCAATATATGGAACATCTGATCTCTAAAAGAGTATATAAATTCCAATGTACATATTTAGTGTGGTTTTTCTTAAAGCAATTCAAACAAAATTATCGTTGTGGCAGTATTGCCATCAATCCTCATCTCATATTAAGTTTTTTTTGCCGTTTTCTCCAATAACTGGATCTTATATTTGGTAATAATGTCGTTAATAAAAAAAGTAAATATTTGAATTGAATACGTGATACATATGGCTTAGATAAAACGTTAGTTACTGGTAATGACTTTTGATTTTCCGTATTTTTACAACTGCGAAAGACACTTTTAATTGATCAACAGTCTCTAGATCTCTATATGTATGTAAATAGTAGATAATGGCAGAATGAATTTACATACATATGTATGTGTCTAGAATAGCACATAATACTTTTAGAAATACTGGCTTAATCAGGATTTGAGACGGTCTTATTCTACTCTGATCGTTTTTCTAGATGGTGTTTTGTCCTCCAGTATTCCTATGTTCTTTGATGTCATTGCACCGAAAATATACCTATGTATGTAGTATCTGCCCGTTGCTGCTGACTAATCGAAGCTCAAAAATGTAAATTTCTTGATAGCCAGTGAAAAAGCTGTTTCTGACTCTGCAACGGTGGTGGTGGAGAGGGGGCGCGGGGTATGATGATGATTCGTTCGCTTGGAATCTGTGCAGCGGCTTTTGTCCGGAGAGTGGAGATTTAATATTTAATCGAAATCAGCGCAACAGAATCAACTAAATCTGCGAACATAAATAAAAACAAAAGGCAAGCCGGGAGGATAGGACGGTGGCGAAGAAAATTTGTGAGTACGACTGTGTGTGCGTGTGTGTGTGTGTGTGTGTGCGAAGCTGTTCGACATAGGGTGGGAATTGAATTCCGAATGCCGTTGCATCGGACAGTCAGGCAGGCAAACAAGGGAGACGGGACGGAACAGCCGTTTCTTTATCATTTCGTTATGGTACTTCCATTCATGTGCCTATGAATCTGTATGTATGTGTGTGTTTGTGTACCTACTGCAACAACAATACCCTGCACAATTGCCTTAAATTGTTGGTATGATTCCTGCCTTGGCTTACCCGATCGTGTTAATGGTACTTTTTTCTTTGTTAAGCGATTTTAAATATTATTTTTGTAATTGCATTTTGCTCGATGCACAGCACTCGGCCAACCAAAAAAAACACCAAGATTGGCAATAATAACACGTATTAGAACTTGTTGGCAAGTCGCGATTAGAGTACACAATGTTTCGTTTAATGGTTATCAAAGCCTTCACTGGCTCTGACGTTGGCAGTGACACACCGAGCTGAGGCTGCGGCTGCGGCTGTGACGGCGCAAGATTCTGCGCAAGAGATCTCCGATCACGTTCGAGTTTGTATTTTCTTTGGCAATGGACAACAACACTAACAAAAACAATGCCGAGAAAGAACTCTGCCGCCACTAGGTCGAGTGCTGGTGCGAGTGCAGAGGCGAGTGACGAAGCTGAGCTGGGGTTGCTGCTGTTTGTTTTTGCATTCGTTGTCGATGTCGTTGTAGTGGTCGGAGCATTGCAATGGAAAAGCTAGGTTTGGATATATCGTTCCAGCCCTAGCCGACGACCCTGCGATATATTCTCATGCGGGTATCGATGTTTCTTGCGAGGGCGCAAGTGTGCAAACATATCGATGTTCTAGGCGCAGGCGTAAATGGTTGAAAAACAATGGCGGTCCCTGTCAACGCTTCTATTGGCTTAATTAATAAATGAATTATTATTAAAATTTAAATTATTTATTAATTGAACCATTATTAAAATATTTATGTATAATAATGTATACAATATACATACATATGTATAAATATATTGTATTGTTATTATTAAATAATTAATACTAAATTTCGTATAGCTGTAGAGTTGGGTAGATTTTCATGTGTAAATTGGCAATTCGCTGATAGACATCTTCCGCAACTCGCAGCAGACCAGCGCGTCAGTCCTCTGAGCACTTCGATTTAGCTTAACCCATGCCCGAGGTATGCTGGACCTTCTCATGTGTGCAGGAGTGGTGCTCCTTAGTGGAGCTCATCAGGTCGCTGTTTAGGGCGATGTCCTCAAACGCTCATGCTGTCTGGCTCTCGCTCGCATTCCTGTTCAGCCGCAGCTCCACGGCCACTGAATGCCACTGCGTCTGTTTCTCCTGGTGGCAGTCTCAGCCTACCATGCGGAGGTGTACCGCGAACTGGCCAGCGACGAGGTGGCCCTGATGGGACTCAACTTCACCAGGAAACTACTGCTGACGGTGAGCATGCGGTCATGATCGATGACAGGCGAACATTAGTTGGAGCCGCATCTGATAGTGATACACGCTAAGAGGACGGTGGCGGAGACTACGCTGGCTACCTACGAGCTGGCACTCACAGTTTCGGGAGGGCAAAAAGTCGGGGAGCTGGCCTGCACGCGGCATCAACTGAGCCATCGACCAGGCGCAAACACTGTGCTACACAGTTGTGTAGCTGCGTGCTCGCGAACCAGTTTTCCTTTCTTTCTGTGTCTACTTTTTCCATGTCCATTTCATTTTCGTTTTCATTTTCATTCGCAGCTACTTACTTAGTCTTCGGTGTGATGCAATGGGAGCCATAAATGGTGCAAGCTTCCTAGGCCCACTGAAATGCGTAAATAACGATTTGAACCAGTTGACCAAATGCCAATGCCGATTGCCGCGCGAGCCGACGCTTCCGGCCCGTTCCAGGCCAGGCCAGTCCAGTCTGGGGCTGACAATTGTTAACCCAATTCGCGACTCGATCAGGCCCAGACTGGCCTGGTCTGCCCAGACACGGCATGGCCTGGAGCGGCCTGGCTCATATAAAAGGCTTCGGTCGCCAATGGATGTACAGATAACATCGCGCACTCAAGCTGATCTTAAGCAATGCAGGCCCACAAGATTTCCCACTGCCTAGCACTGGTCCTGCTCTCCCTCAGCCAGATCCGTGGCCAGATCATCCAGCCAATACGTTATCCCGGCGGACCGGTGCACCCGCAGCGGCAACAGCGCTCCCTCTTTGGCCCACCCGGTCCACCCATCGGTTGGAGTAGCGGTGGCGGCTGGGCCGGTCCCAGTCCCAGCTTCGGGTTCAGCCACCTGCCACCCTCATCGAGCCCGCACGTAACCAAGGACGAGCTTCTGGCTCTACTGGCGGCCTGGAAAGATGTCGAGCCCAAGCCGACTCCGTCTCCACCCCCTGAGCCCGAGGATGAGCCGGAGCCTGAGGTGACCACCGCCCCCCCTCCCGAGGAAGAGGAGGAGCCAGAACCAGAACCGGAGGCCCCAGCACCAGCCCCAGAGGCACCAGCCGGACCTCCTCCCGGTGTGCCGGTTACCGTCTCGCTGCCAGCCCTGGTACCCATTCAGCTAGCCGCCATGTGGCAGACTCCAGTGCCTGGCGCAGGATCTGTAGGCCTCGGTCTGGGCGGAATCGGTGGTTTGTCAGGTCTAGGACTGGGACTGGGTGGGGGTGTAGCTGCAGCTGCAGCAAGCACTGATGGTGGCGCTGCAGCCGGAGCAGCAGCTGCCACAGCACGCACTGCCACAGTCTCCCGTTCGCGGGCCCGTGCAAGGGTCGGAGGACGGCCCTCAAAAGCCGCCTCTATTCGCTTTCCCGTTGCCAATCCCCGCAGCTTCGCCTCAGGAAACTATGTGGCGCCCAGACCGCGCTACTATCGCGCCGCTCCTTCGCAGTCGGAGCCAAGTCGGTATGTACATCCCTTTAACACTGCTGCTAACTTTCTCTCAAAACTCTCCTCCTCCGTTTTACAGGGTCGATGTGATGCCATCGCCCGGGTATCTGGCCCATGTTCCGGGACCAGTACAGCTCGTTCCTGGTTACTGGCAGTAGTCGCCACTTCTTTAGTGCATACATCTCTTGGTACTCGTCCTTCCCATTTTATCTAAGCTCAAACTGTACAAATATACACACTCATACCTATACATATTATACCTATACAATTACATATATAGGCTACGTAAATCTATGTCCATGTACAGATCATCAGCATCTATTTGTACTTTAATGCCACTTTCTTTTAACAAACATTTTTTTTATATTTGGTTTTAATAATAAATATTTTAACTTATACATTGTAATTGTGTGAAGTTTTTGAATTTCTACTGCGAATTCCTGTGTGCTCATTATTCCTCGTTTCCAAACCTAAAGAAGTGGCTCCGCGGAGAGAGATTTGATTCCAACGATGAAGTCACCTCCCAAAGAACTGTCTATTTTTAGGATCTCGACAAAGCCCCTTTTTTTTATAGGGATACAAAAATGGGAGAAACGTTGGACAAAATTTATAGAAGTCAAAGAAGTCTATGTTCGTGTGGATATTCATAAAGTCACGGAATTTATACCCGCCGACTATAAGAGCTAGAGGAAGACAATTTTTTACCCTTGCTCCTGTGAGAATACACTGTTAAAAGTGTATTTCTAACTTTGCCCAGCCCCCTTCTACATATCTCTATAGCGAGAATCTACAAATCCATTTGCAGTGGCTACGCTACCCCACCTCGTCCACGTGCTTGCTCTCCCTCTCATCACTCTCACACACACTCTTCCCCGTGCAGTGTGTTTCCTCTGTCGGAGGGGATCGAAATAAAGCGGCTGGTATTGCCGTGGCAATAGCAGAAAAACGAAAAAATATAAATTATTCTAAAAATTCTGATCAAATAGGTCATTAGTTGGAAATATGATAAACGGAGTGCAGGATATTACTAGAGGTGATGGTTTTTCCTCTCTTTCTCTCTATGTTTTTCAATCTCTCATGACAGGTGCGGGCACCTGCTTGCTCGGTCCCTTTTCTGAACAGGGATGATAAAAGACGATACCGATTTCTTATAAAATAGTGTATATAGCTGATGGTTTCAATGGAATTTCCTTGGTGCGCTTAGTTTCGCTAGTGTTTCCCGCCGTCCATGCTTTTTCTTGGCAGAAACAGAAGATCCTTTTATCGAGCCAAAAGAAAGCCTTGAAAACAATAAAATTAAAATGTTTGATGTGTACGTTGGCTGCAATTACGGACGAATTCAAACAAAACACCATCCGAAATGGTGTCTCCTAGGAATGCCATATGCTTTAGCAGTCCCTTTGGCAGGTTTCTTGTCCGCTAAGCAACACTCAATGTCTGGCAACAACGATTGTTCCGGTGTTGACTTGGCTAAAATCACGTAAAACATAAACAACGATATCACATAGTTTCTCAACCAAAAACCGGCGTTAAGTAAATCAAGCAGGAACGCGGCTAGGGCCGCGGCTCTACATTTGTGGCCGATACTCAGGCCAGTATGGCTGCGTTCCGCCAGAGGGCGCACACTGCAGGAAGAGTGTGTGAAAGAGAGGGAATGCAGTTTTATTTGTTCCTTGTGCCTATACAAATAATTCGATGTGATTCCAGATTGGGCAATCTCCTAGATATGGTAATTATCAATGAATTTCTTCCTCGTTTCTTAAAAGTCTCTGAGAAGTAGGCGTCAAGCAAGACGGACAGACAGACATGGCTATATTGACTGGGCTATTGGTGCTGATTAAGAATATATACAGTTTATGGGGTCGAAAACGCTTCCTTTTGGGTGTTACACCCATCCACTTGCACTTTCCTACAGTGTTTGAGTATCGGGTATAGCCAGAGTGACCACAACAGGTAAAATGGCGGTGCTCATAACCGGGAATGATAGCCATTTTTCCAAGAGTTCGACAAATTATGTGATGCATCACTTTTGGGTAAACACGGCGATAAAGCACATACAATTACAACACTGAAATCAAAACACACACCTTTTTATACCCGATACTCAAAATGAGTATTGGGGTATATTAGATTTGTGGTAAAAGTGGATGTGTGTAACGTCCAGAAGGAATCGGTTTCGACCCCATAAAGTATATATATTCTTGATCAGCATCAATAGCCGAGTCGATTGAGCCATGTCTGTCTGTCCGTCTGTCCGTCTGTCCGTCCGTCCGTCTGTCCGTCTGTCCGTCCCCTTCAGCGCCTAATGCTCAAAGACTATAAGAGCTAGAGCAACGATGTTTTGGATCCAGACTTCTGTGATATGTCACTGCTACAAAAATATTTCAAAACTTTGCCCCGCCCACTTCCGCCCCCACAAAGGGCGAAAATCTGTGGCATCCACAATTTTAAAGATACGAGAACACCAAAAACGCAGAATCGTAGAGAATGACCATATCTTTTAGACTGCAGAATCTGAATTGGATCGTATTACTATTATAGCCAGCATCAAGAAAACAATTTCATTTTTTCTCGCCCTGTCTCTCTCTAACACACACGTAGCATAGGCGGCTTTGCTTAGAGTAAAACATTAGCGCCTAGATCTCAGAGACTATAAAAGCTAGAGCAACCAAATTTGGTATCCACACTCCTAATATATCAGACCGAGACGAGTTTGTTTCAAAATTTCGCCACACCCCTTCCGCCCCCGCAAAGGATGCAAATCTGGGGATATTCACAAATCTCAGAGACTATTAAAGCTAGAGTAACCAAATTTGATATCCGCACTTCTGTTAGATCTCACTATAAAACCTTTATCTCAAAATTTCGCCCCACCCCCTTCCGCCCACACAAAGGACGAAAATCTGTTGCATCCACAATACGCAGAACGCAGAATCATAGATAACGACCATATCTATCAGATTGCTGAATCTGAATCAGATCAGATCATTTTTATAGCCAAAGGAAACAAATCAATTTGCACTGGCTACGCAGCGCGTGACGTCACGCTCAGACTGATTTTCTGTCTCTCTCGCACGCACTCTTTGTCGTGTCGTTTAATATTAGCGGCGTCTGCCGGAGGAGAGCCATACTGACTTAGTATCGGGTATAACTGTAGAGTTGCGGTGTCCGCAGCAACTCACAACGTTCCCCCTCGTTTTTTATTTCGCACCAATATATCTCAATTCAAAAGCTATAAATATATAATCAAATGCAGATATTTGTTTCGTTATCAAAATGCTGCGCCTGTCAAGGAACTCGATTCACAATGCTTACATCAGTGGCGTCTGCTTGTTGTCCAGGTTCAGATGGTGTCCACAACTAGAACGTGCCCATAACCATCGCACTTCCCCTATAAACATATACATATCTCTTATATCATCTAAAGACATAAGATATTGTAAATCGTTTTAATCGATTGATAAGATCAAAAAAGCTTTAATTAAACAATTACCAAACTGATGATGCGTTTATCTACTTAATTTTCCAATGTGACTATTATGCTCGCATTTTTTGATCCGTACAGCGTTAACCACTTATCGTGTTTGACTACTGGACGTGCAACTAAAACGAAACCCCATCCACAAGCAGCAATCGTGCCAAATCGGGCGCTTATGGCAGCCGCCGCGGGTGTCAGCATGACTTTGCCACGCCCTGCTGTGCCATAACTCGCCAATCCGCGGGCGATGACAGACATGTTGTCTGATCCTGTTTTCCAAATCGCATTCAACACTCTGCCGAATGAGACATTAAGACAGATGAAGCTGAGTTTGGATGGAAGTGGTCCGGCTAAATTGGGATGGATGGAGGTCCGACCTTTTTCAGCTACGATCTGAAATCGGGGCGCAGAGCTGAACCGACATGAATTCAATAAATTTGTGGAAATTTTTACGTCGCAGTAAAGCCCCCAACACTGTCCAACAAGCAATTGGATAAGTAATGGGAGTATATTTATTTTTGAAAACTACGGGTATGTTACGAGCTATAGTAAATATATGTAGTATATCTAATATGGGGCGATCAGGTTCGGTGGACCGATGCCTCCAATACCATTGCAAATGTCTGCCTTCCTACTCGTCGGAAAACATTGTCAAGCAGTAGGTATGCACCCGTAGTATTTTCTACATTAAGTATGTTTAAATTTAATTACAATTCCCATATTATATATATACATCCAAGACGTCCTTCTCATAAATGATATTAAAGGGATTTGAGGGTAAAAAAGGGTAAACGATATATTTGTACCTATATATAGACTAGTCTTTGGTTGAATTTAACATTCATATGCACATATCCGGAGGGCACGGATATAAGGAGCTTGCTTTTCAGCACCGACTGGGAAATGCCAAGTCAAAATGGAAAACAAAAATGGTGAAAAAAAAGGTTTTTGGTTTGGGCTGAATAGAAAACCGCGTATGGCAGTACAGTGTGGTCAGTGTTTATGGTAATTTTCACACATTTCACATAAATGGTAATTGACATGCCTGCCACCTGATACCTGATACCAGATATCTCCAACAGAAATCGTCGGCAGCAGGCGTAAAAAAATTTATTGAAAGCAATGTGCGTTCGGCAAATCGAGTAACGCCTATTTGGACTAGTTTGGACTTCCCGCTATGACCAATAGCGACTTAATTGTAATTTTAATGGCCGCCTGAGGGTTTATGTAAGACTCAACCGCACACTTCGACTCGGGCATTGCCATTGTTTGCTCTAACTTAATAGCTGTATTAACTAGTGAACAAATAAATAACAAATTAAGACACGTGCTAAAACCAGTTCAGTTCAGGCGACGCCACAGAATCCAGAGACCTTGGTGTGCGGCCAGCAGGGCGAAGGCACCAGCAAACACAAAGTTCAGTCTGTATATGGCTGCCTGACAGTACAAAAGAACAATCCCAGACAGCACGTACAGGACAATGGACATCATCCAATAGCCAGAGCTAAGGCAGGGAAGAGGAGAGGCTGTGTAAGATGGTGTTGGCTACGATAAGTGGCAATCTTTAGTTACCATTTCTGTGGAGCCCGAAACTGCAGCAGTAAACTTAGGGAGATCAAGACAACGACGCTGGACTGCAAGCTCGGGTCGGGCAGATCGATGCCATGGCTGCCGAGGAAAAGGGGGAGAAATGATTCCTTCAACGACTTATGTGAGCGATAGAAGTTTCACTTACCGTCGAGATCGGACCCAGGCCAATGTGTTTGGGCCAGTGAGCAGAAGCTGCATGAGCAGCATCAACAATAGGGTTACGTGAAAGGGAAAGTTTTGAAGGCCAACACAGGGTTCTGGATCAATTTCCTTTTTTTCCGCTGCCATTTCTTCCTGCTCCTCCTCCTGCTGTTGCTTTTTTTCGTCTGACTGGCCATCATCTATGCCCGACAGCGTGTCTCCATCTCCTTCAGATCCTGTAGCAGCCGGTTCACTCGGCGTACCGCGAACCAAGTTAGCCGCCTTCTGCCAGACGAAGTCCTCCAGGTAGTCCTTGTAGGCATTCGACAGCATTAGAAAGTAGAAAACAAAGGCCAGCAGCAGACCCACACCACTGCAGGTGCCTATTGCCGTCGCAATGGTTAGGATGCCGTAAGTAATGGGCAGATGAGTCATTATGGAGATCAGTATATTGGAGCTGGCCTGTGATTGGCGCGTCAGACGCAAGGCCAAGCGATAGAATGCGTTTCCGTAGAGCGATAGGGCCAGCCAGGTGGCCAGGGTTGCCACCAAGGAGAACGCAATCGCTGCGCAGTGGATCACAATCGACACGTTGATGCTGTAGTCCAAGGACTCTGGAGTGGGCAGCACACGGCTACTCAGTATTAGCTTCTTCAGCAGGCGACAGGCTGCAAGAAAACAGAAAACTTGTTTGCATTCTGGGACGACATATGTGAATCATTTCCTTTGGACAACCTGTGACCACGTATAGTGATGTGTACTGCAGATAGCCGGTGTAGGGCTTTAGGCTCTTGAAGCTGCCCACTTCATGGAAGGTTGAAACCTGCTTTCGCAAAACAATAAGCAGCACACATGTCAGGTGAGCCGGCAGCCAGCTGGAAAACTCCAAGACCAGTCGGGACAGGGCTGAGGAATAGCCGTACTCATAGCTTAGGTTCAAAAATGAATCAGAGTGCGACAGAAAACGTCAATAAGAAGGAGAAGCGAGAGACCGTGGAAGAGGGAAAGAGAATTATGAATCCACACTGCTTTAAATCATTTAAAGTTTGTTTACCTTATACGATAGCGGCAAATGGGGTCCAGGTACAAGTCCATTATGACAGGATTCAGGGTCGTATTGTAGTGCTTTGGAAGCAGGGTGGGTACGTTCGCATAAAGCTGAGGCTTTTCGTCCGGAGAACTGTGGATAGGCAGTCGAATATTGACCAAGAAAGAATAGATTTCTACACCAACTCACGTCAACGTTTGAAAGCGCTCAAAGCCCGCCGCCCAAGGAACACAGAGCCTTGCCGTGACGCGGTACTGTGGTTTGAGGCACTGTAGGGGCTCAACAATCACTCTCAGGCTCTGGTACGGATCGAAGAGCTCGCTGATACGCAGCCTATAGTGGAGTGTGCCCTGCAACGTTTCATTGACGGCCAGTTGCTTGGAAAAGGAGTACCAGCGCGGAAGGCGGATGTCAACGTGCCGCTCTTTAGGGTCGTAGATGTCTAGATTGTAGCCAAGGTGACCGCTGCCCGCTGGTAGGCGTACCAGCACATGAGTCCACTCTAAGTAGGTGTTGCGCAAATTGTGAAGATCCAGCACTGCAATGCTTCGCGGCTCTCGCTCTCTGTTCGGCAACCGCTGAACTAGATGGGTAAGCGGTGTAACCTTTTCGCTAAAATGCCAGAAAGGAGGTCATGTGGGCTGGTCTTTAGCATGGTGGACGAGGGGCAGCTCACCAGTAAGTTTGACCCGTCTCTTTGTGGACCAGGGCAGTGCAGCCGAATAACCAATCGATATCGTCCACATTCAGCGCCTCAATGGCCAGCTTTTTGTAGCGCTTGTGGCGCTTTATGCCAATCAGGTCAAAGTAGGAAGTCTTGAGACCATTGGCGAAGTACTTATTGATGACTAGTCGTCGCTCCTCGTTCCAATTGTTGGCTGCAGAAAAGCTCATAGTGCTCTGCGGGCGACTTGGCCGCTTCTGAAAAACCAGACGCGATAAATGATGAAGAAATTATAAGTTATAAGCATTAGAATCTACCACAAAGTGAGACAGAGCCGACTTCAGGTTGCGTTGTTTGTCTGTGCTAAAGATCACTGACCGATCGTCGCGCACCCGGGCAATGCTAAAGAGGAATCTATTTATGGTCTTAATGAACTGCAAGCACCAAACAGCGGATAGATGATCGCAGCTTAGGCTCACACGGGGTATGGCCGAGGTCTGCAAGGTAACAGGAATACAAAATAGATAGCGATAGAAGCAAAGTTGAAATTATATAGAAATTTACCATGGCGTGAAGATCATTGAACTTGGAGGCTGTTAGGCCCGGGCGCACGAGGAGATCACGATTCCCACCAGCCGTCGAGATGAGCAAAACGTTGTCCAGGTTTGCCGATGTCTCTTTCAGAGCCATATTTTGGACACTTGGTGGGTTCTGGTGCAAGCTGTTGCATACATTGGTCCGGGTCGTTGGTAGAGTGACTGTTCGAGTCCTGCTCAGGGCACTATCTGTCTGTGCGTAAAAAGCGTCCAGTTCAGCATCCAAATTTAGCACGGGCCGGTCAAGGGGCGTGGAAATACTGATAATCGTATTTATGTGCTGTCCTATGCTTAAGTCTGTGAGAACCGAGTGCGCCAGCTTACCGCCCATTGAGTGCCCGATGAGCACAATGGACGGCTCTTCGCTGCGCCCTTTATAGAGGGACAGGATTGTGCGGATGCAGAGCTTAAGATAACGTTGCTGATGAAACAAGTAGCCGCCATAGAGGGCCGACAGCTCTTCATCGTAGTCGATGGTGTAGTAGTCTAAATGAATGCCGGCATCGTTAGTCAGAGCCTTGCGAAGGGCGACGGAGGCCAACGATCTGACTTGCTTGTAGGAGCCGCCATTGCCTGGCACAAAAATAACCGGAGCTCCGGTCATGTCCTTTGCATGTGGTTCCACCGAGTCCCTTAGTCCTTCGTAGTAGTAGAAAAGTCTGTAATTGGGATACAGCTCGCCGTTTTTTATCTGGACTCGCTGTATAAGCAATAAATATAGTGTGCTGAGTGTGCTAATCTCATTCTGATAACTTACTGAAAACATCGGCTGCCCAAACATATAGGTCATGCGACAGGCATTCGGCTCCACATCTACATAGATGTTAATGATCCCATATATGAAACAACAGATGGAACCAATCACCAGGAGAACGGCACAGTTCCGAAACATAAACATTTTTAAAATGTCTAATTTTGCATATTTCAGTTTGTTCTGTATTTTTGTTATTGTTGTTCCGATGGCGCTGCCAGACCGCTGAGGTTCGAGTACCGGAGTCTTAAAGTATCGGTACTCGATAGTGCAATTCAGTATTAGAGAGGAGAGTTATGTTTTTTTTCGAATTAAAAATAACCCAAATAAAAATATTTGATCAACATAGGTATGAACTGATTAAGATAAATTTCTCATACTGGTGTCATTTCGTAGACAAAAATACAGGAGGGACCTATGTTTTATTTCCAGCAATAGTTTGTGATTTACAGATGGTCTTCTATTTTTGAGTGGGGTTGCAGCTTCATTGTCTAACAAATAAATTGTAAGGTCGTCTCTTTTATATGAAAGAACAGCAATTTTATCAGGTTTAATTTTCGGATAATATTGCTCATCTCTAAGTCATTTGATCCACATGCATACGTATGGACATGTGTGTGTATTGATAATTGTTGTTGGTAGCTGATCATTCAGCTAACGTACGCGTGCGCCTGACTCTGTGTCCCGATCCGATCCGTTCCGAGCCGCCCCCTCCCCTCGCTGGCAGCCAGAGCCAGAATTGTCAACAATCAAAGCCAGCAGCGCCGGCGTCAGCATCATCAACGCTTCGTAACGTGTTTACGTTTCTAAGCCCCAGTCTGAGTTGCGTGTGTGGTGGGTTTGATTCTGTGTGTGCGCTCAATTCGCGTATTCGTATTTGTATCTAGTTGTATCGTTGCGGGTCGCGCCAATAATAAAAACAAGCTAGCTGACGCCGACGTCTCTGTCTCGTTGTCGCCTCTGCCGTTACGTTGCCGCTGCGGATCTCTCGAATCTGATCTGTCGCTCGATAGTTATTGTCTTCTTAGTGTACGTTGTGGAGTCGTTTCTTGTTGCTGTTGTTACGCGCTTGTCCAATGATTTATGAAATATATTCGTAGACTGAGTCTGATCCAACATATAAATACATATTTAAATAATCCAAACTGAAAGTATCTTAAGCGAATGATGCCGTGCAATTACATGTGTTGTTAACAAATAGTTTGTCGGTGTGTTTGTGTGTGTTTTCCCCAACTGTAATTTTTTGTAATTGCAATCACACAAGCGCAGCTGGTCCATACATACATAAAGATACATATTTATATATTTACATACATATGTACATACGTGTGAAACAGAAAAAAACAGATCGCATTTCCATCTATTATTCACTATATAGTATAAATATATCAGTCAAAGTCTCCCCAACTACCGTCCACTGCTGTTGTGTCTCTCTGTCTCTCTCCCTGCCATCTCCTTGTCCACCGTGTGCAATCATATGAAATCCTCCACAACATCTAACATTATGGATATTTGGCGCTCGCTCACAGTTGGCTCATTTCTGCTGCTGGGACTCGTGTGCTTCTATGGCCATGTGGAGTCGTGCAATGAAGTCGTCTGCGCATCCATCGTATCCAAGTGCATGCTGACGCAGAGCTGCAAATGCGAGCTCAAGAACTGCTCCTGCTGCAAAGAGTGTCTCAAGTGTCTGGGGAAGAAGTACTACGAGGAGTGCTGCAGCTGTGTAGGTAAGTAATGCGGCTGGCGTTGGCCTTCCACACTGAGGGTGGGGTTGGGCAGAGGTCTAACGAGATAAAAATATGTGGTGATGACAATCGGGCGACAGCCTTTGGCTCGCATTGTTTTTGTTGCCTTCAACTGTGTAGTGTTCGTGCATGTGTGAGTGTGTGTGAGCGATGTGCCAACCAGGTATCGATAGCGGGCTTGAGCTAGCGATTAGCAGTTTCCCGACCACTCTTATAGCCCTTTTACACTGCAGCGCGTTGGGTATCGATATCGGAATAGACGCAACGACCCGGAATAGGCGTTTACATTGGCAGACGCAGGTCGCTGCGTCTGGAGAACAGATGATCAGCAACCTATTAGTAATGGTGTTATGACATTCGACTTTGCCAAGCACCAGTCAGTTAGAAAAGACCAATCTCATAACACGTGATAGAATATCTTTTTTTTATAAAGCATGCAGTTGTCTATTTGCCCATTTTCTATTTGTATGTTTTATTGGTATTTAAATTTACAGAGCTCTGTCCCAAGCCGAATGACACGCGCAATTCGCTGTCAAGGAAATCTCATGTCGAAGATTTCGATGGTGTGCCGGAGCTGTTCAACGTATTGATCACAAATCCGGATGACAGTGATACTTTCGGCTACAATTGGAATGTGTTCACGTTTCAAGTGGATTTTGACAAGTACTTGAAGGGTCCCAAACTCGAAAAGGATGGCCATTATTATTTAAGTATGTAATTCTCAAAGCAATTGGTATTATTACTTTGTGTTTAACCGAGTCTCTTGTATTTAAGGAACAAATGATAAAAATTTGGATGAAGCAATACAGGAGCGAGACAATATAGTTACAGTTAATTGCACGGTAATATATCTGGACCAGTGCGTTTCCTGGAATAAGTGTCGAAAGAGTTGTCAGAGCACAGGTGCCAGCAGTACCAGGTGAATATAATGAATATAACGAATAGACAGTATTTAATTGCAATCTAACAAATTAGATGGTTCCACGACGGCTGCTGTGAGTGCGTGGGATCGACATGTATTAACTACGGTGTTAACGAGAGTCGCTGTCGAAACTGTCCCGAATCTAAGGATTTGGGCGATGATTTCGATGAAAACATTGAGGAGGAGATGCAGGACTTTGGCGACAATATGGGTCCTTTCGATGGATCAGTAAATAATAATTATTGAGAGCAGTGCGATCAAATGCCATTTAAAGAACAGTGAAAACATTTAACAAATTTAGCTACTCAATACAGTGACATTATTATTACGTAGTACGAAGTAATATTTGTATAGCACTATTATTATTATTTTTTATTTAAAAAATAGGCGCTTTTAATTGTTTACTTATTAAACCGGCCAAGATTTATCAAACAAATTTTTTTTAATAAAAAGCAACCCTTTTTTTTTTTTTGAAAGCTCAACTATCAAAATCTCGATTGTGCCAATGTGCCAATGGACTGACATTGTTATCGAATTGGAGGCAACAACAAACCACTAGAACTAACAAAAATTTATCGTTGTGTGTTTCATACCATACCGGAATTGAACAATAATGAAATTCGACCATTATACAGCCATTAGCAAACTTACATATATCTGCAAAGTCTAACAATCGACAATCTCAGCTTCGCTATCACCAGATCGACTGAAAATCCAAACGAAAGCATAAATTTCTCTCGTTCTCACTGCCTACTTTTCTTGTAAGGTTTTTACATCTGGCCTTAGCCTAAAGTGAAGTGCAATACAGGCACTAGTGCCTGAATTAATAACTGCATATTAAAATACCAGCACAGCTGACATTGCTGTCACCGTTTTGCGGCGATCTGGCAACCCTGCGAAGTCATTGCATGTAATTTCAAGAAAATAACATCAAGTTACGTATTCGTGTGCCAAGAAGGTGCACAAGAGGGGAAAAACTGCTGGGAACGATGTTGAAGGGACTGCAGCATGTGAGAAGTCTGCTGCAAGGCGGATCCCGCCAATTCGCACAGATACAAAATTTGACAGAACTATATTGTGGCTTCAGGCGGGAGCTCCGTCTCCTGCCGCTTAGCCGGCGACAGGTAAGAAGACAGGAACAGAGAAAAAAAGGTAAATAAATCCGAAATTTATTTGCCAGGTTCTCAAGATGCAGGCGGAGTACAAAGCGGTTGTGGGCCTGATATCACGCTCTCTGCAGCTAACGCCGAACGAGGTGCGTAAAATGCATCTGCGCTGCATGAGCATGGGTAAATCAGACAAATCCCCTGACAGCAAGAGCAGCAACACTGGCGATGCCAGCAAACAAACTAAGTCATCCACGTCCGGTGACGACGATTCTGTCAAGGAGAAACCACTGTCGGCAGCGCCCACATCTCACAGTAGCAGCAGCACCACCAAATCCAACACAGATCAGTCATCGGCCGATGCCACCTCTGGCAGCAGTTCCAGCAGCGATCCTGGTGAAGACGGGAAAAAGAAAAGAAATGAGAACGATGAGAAAATGCGTTCAGTGTTAACCAAGGCTGTGCTCTGGTTGTTCACCATCTACATGTTTGTGGCATTCTTCTCATTGCTGATCACCCCCCGGTCGGAAAGGCCCGAGGTAACACTCTTATACTTTTTCACTGCCATCTTCCCTTTTTACATAATCTTTTCTATCTGCGGACAGGGCTCGACGCGATACGTGTCGTGGAATGAGTTTGTGCATCACATGCTGGCCGTGGGCGAGGTGAAAGAGCTGATCATACGGCCCGACATGGAAATGGTAACAATTATACTTCACGAAGGGGCCGTTATCAAGGGCAGGAAAGTTACCTCAACCATATTTCACATGGCTGTGGCCGATGCCACCAAATTTGAGGAGAAGCTTCGCGACGTGGAGAAGCGTCTGGGCATCAAGGATGGTGTACCCGTCACTTACGATCGCCAGTCAGACACTACAGGACGCATCCTTATGCTGCTGCTCATCTGTGCTCTATTCATGTCTATTGCCACGCGCATGAAGAGCATCAAGAGTCCGCTCAGCATGGACTCGTTTGTACGTTTGTATAGCAGACATAATTATAGATCTCTGACTAATCTCTACCCCCATTGCAGAATCAAATGGGTCGTGCCAAGTTCACACTCGTGGATCCCTTTGACGGCGGACGTGGCGTACTATTCCGAGACGTGGCAGGTCTCAGCGAGGCTAAGCAGGAGGTTAAGGAGTTCGTTGACTATTTGAAGACGCCGGAAAAGTATCAGCGCCTGGGCGCCAAGGTGCCACGCGGAGCCTTGCTCCTGGGTCCGCCTGGCTGCGGAAAAACGCTTCTGGCCAAAGCAGTGGCCACAGAGGCTCAAGTGCCTTTTCTCAGTATGAACGGATCTGAATTCATAGAGATGATTGGGGGACTAGGTGCCGCACGCGTGCGAGATCTCTTTAAAGAGGGCAAGATTCGGGCGCCCTGTATCATCTACATAGATGAGATCGACGCCATCGGACGCCAGCGGTCTGGCACAGAGAACATGGGCCAGGGTGGCTCTGGGGAGTCGGAACAAACGCTCAATCAGCTTCTCGTCGAAATGGACGGCATGGCCACCAAGGAAGGTGTCCTCATGCTGGCCAGCACGAATCGGGCCGATATTCTAGACAAGGTGAGTGATTCATGGGGAGGCATGGAATGATTTTTGGCCTTTGGGCTGATTTATTGGGCAAAATATTAAAACCCTTCTGTTCAGGCTCTGTTACGACCTGGCCGCTTTGATCGCCACATACTCATCGACCTGCCCACGCTGCAGGAGCGCAAGGAGATATTCGAGAAGCATTTGTCTACAGTCAAGCTGGACTCCCCGCCCAGCTCTATGTCACAGCGCCTGGCACGCCTTACACCCGGCTTTTCTGGCGCCGATATTGCCAACGTCTGCAATGAGGCCGCTCTTCATGCGGCCCGAAACACGCAGACAGAGGTCAGCACAAGGAACCTGGAGTACGCCGTCGAGCGTTTAGTTGGTGCGTTAGAACTCCATTCAAATTTTTCAAAGTCAACTATATCCTATATCCTTTTCCTTCCGTAGGTGGCACTGAAAAGCGTTCGCATGCGTTGTCTCTGGCAGAGCGCAAGGTTATTGCTTACCACGAATCCGGTCATGCCCTTGTAGGCTGGATGCTGCCTCATTCGGACATCCTGCTCAAAGTTACCATTGTGCCGCGCACCAGCTTGGCCCTGGGCTTTGCCCAGTACACGCCCAGCGAGCAGCATCTGTACAGCAAGGAGGAGCTATTCGACAAGATGTGCATGGCCCTGGGCGGACGCGCGGCTGAGAACTTAGTCTTCAATCGCATTACGACTGGGGCCCAGAACGACCTGGAAAAGGTCACAAAGATCGCCTATTCGCAGATCAAGAAGTTTGGCATGAGCAAGATCCTAGGACCCATCTATATCCGAGATGCGGACGAGTCCGAGGGTGGGGACTCCAGCGGTGGCGCAAAACCCTATTCACGAGCCATGGAAACCACGATCGACAACGAGGCCCGCAGTATCGTTACTCAAGCCTACCGGATAAGCGAGGGCATACTCGTCAAACACCGCGACAAGCTAGATAAGGTCAGCTAAATTCTTATACTTTCTGTCCCCTAGCTTTCCACGACGAGTTATCCCATTCTTCTCCTGTTTCAGTTGGCCGAGGCTCTCCTGGAAAAGGAAACATTGGACTACGATGAGGTTGTAAAACTGATTGGGCCGCCGCCTCATGATCCGGAGAAGCGCCAGGTGGAATCCGTTGAGTTCGAGCAATCGCTTAAAAATCTTGGCAATGATACAAACACACCTCAGATCTAGGCAGTCATTTGTCGCCTGCTGCACAACCTAAGCCGCTCACCTTTTCGCCGCTCGCACCCCTTGGTTCATGTTCAATAAATGTAAATAAAGTTGTTTACCTTTTTAAACGACTTAGAACTGTGTTCATTACTCGCTAATTAGCCGCGTCTTGGAGCAAGGCGATAACACACTTAACGGATACACTTCGAGCCGAATTGGGTGATTAAACGGATCCAAAAGTGATTAATCAATCGGACCCGTTTGTAACGCAAATCATAAGCCACTGTCTCCCGACAATTCGAATGTCTACGAGTAGACATTGCATAGAGTAAATCTACACTAGAAGTGTCTACTCGTAGACATTGCATAGAGTAAATCTACACTAGCTAGAGTAGAATCATCGTCATCGTTCTGACGTGGCAAGAGATCAAGAGTTTAATTCAACAGTCACCCCGCTGACCTAGAGCTTGACATGCTCCGTCAATTGGTTGAGCCAAAGTCAACCTACACACACTGTCTGAGTGATCGCCAAAGCCGGAACTAGATTTTTTTTAGCTATTTGAATCGATACTGCCTCATCTCGTTCCCTAGGATTGCACACGTATTTGTCGAAGAAAGCCTTATTGACCTCTCTCTATACGAATCGCTGTCGTCAGCCTTTTCGCTTGTATTACAATACCTGGGAGTCTGTTTGTGATATTCGTGTCCCCAACGATGATGGTAAAACCTCTCGGGGAGCCAAGCATACGATGATTCTGAAAACAATCTGCAAGCCGTTTGTGTTCCAGGTACACCTATCAAATCAAGACATTTTACAAGACAATCAATGGTTATTTAACATTTATTTATTATCAAAAACAATGGTATACAATGAAAAGTATAGTGAATTTTATATAATTGTTTATATAACGCTTGCATGTGAGAAAAAGTGTACTGAAAAGTGTCTCGATTTTGTGGTAGCATACTGAATAAAATTGTACATCAGTGGATAAAACGGAGAAATAATACTGCTAGCCCAAGCTGCAAGCGGAACTGCACCGACTGTGTCCCGTTATTAATGGAGCTATGAAGAAGCCGTTTTAATGATATTAAACATATAAGTACATATATTAAAGATACAAGTATTACATTGGTAAACTGTACCACAGTATGAAGGCCTTATAAGTGAACTGTTTGGATTCTATTGGAGCTTGTAAGTGAAGCCCTTGATAGTTCTGGCTATGAAAATGGTTTCGATTTGGTGCTGTAGGGTTTCGTCCAGGTAGTCGTCACTCGCGACTAACGCAATCAGCACTTAGAATTTGTTTATATTTAAGTTACGCAAATACCAGGGTCTACAGCATTTAGATTTGCCTTTACTAGTACAAGTGAATTTCTAATTTGAACTAATACAAAAATGTCAATGCGTGTCCAGACAGCGGATGGGAGAGTGGATAAAACTCGTTTTATCGCGGGTCCATTGCAACCAAGTCGTTCGTCAGTATAATTTCATTTTCACATATGTATATGTACTTACATATGTACTATGTACGAGTATGTACATATTGAGGTACTTGCTATGATTTCGCTGCTTGATAAAATAAATATCTTTTGTTGTGATTTTCAAATAGTAATGGATATAATTGATAAAAGACTGAATCTTCTCTTAAAAAGAAAACTAAATTCGTTGTCTATCGCATGTGGGCTGATCTTACGCACTGCTAAATATTAAGCGAGTGCCATACGGGTATCGGCGAGCAATTAAACCGAGCTGTACCCAGAATCGCGCTTGAGCTGACTCTCAGGCAGGCCCAGAGGATGCATAAATAGGCCCGGCATCGGCACTTGGCTCAAGTTTGTCAATTGCCGCTCGACGAAAACGGATTACGGAAGACGGAGAAAAAAAATGCAGTTTGTTATAGTTTTAGTTCTCATCGCAGGCATAATCGCGACCCTGGCGGTGGATGAATTCCGTGAGTTTTTCAACAAGTGCTGATCCTGTCTATTGCCAGTCTGACTCGATCTTACCCACAGCTGGGCCCCTGGAGCGCTGTCACTTTGGGAATGAGACCTGCTACGTGGAGCAGGCACAGAACTTCTTCCGGGCCTTCAAAAGTGGCATACCCGATCGTGGAGTGGCTAGCCTGGAGCCCATTGACCTAGGAACGCTGCGAGTAGAGAGCGGAGGCCACTCCGCATCGCTGCAGTTCAACTTGCTCATGACCGATGCCAAGCTGTACAATCTGGCCAATTCGGTGGTGGTCAAGAGCCTGAAGGGTTTCACGAAGGACTTTAGCAAGCCACTCAAGCTAGTCCTGATGCTCTACATGCCTGATCTGGAGGTCCGTGCCAAGTACGATGTCAACGGCAAGATCCTCATTCTACCCATCGTCAGCACTGGGGATATAGTCATCAAGCTGAGCCAGGTGCAGGCTAAGTTGCGTATCGTGGCCGACCCAGTAAAGCGAGGGCATGGGGATGGGGATGGACACACATATCTCAATATCACAGACTTTAAAACAGTCACCAAGGTCAAGGAGTGAGTAACGTAACGCCCATAGCCCCTCCAATTTGTTCTATCTCATGACGCTGTCCATTTTATGTCCAGGGGTAACTTTAACCTGTCCAACCTCTTCAGTGACAACAGGGAGCTCCGCGAAAGCACCCTGAAGGTTCTGAACGATGAGTGGGATGCCCTGGCGGCGGACATTCAGCCCAAGATCAACGAAGCCTGCGACCGGTCCTTCAGGGCCATCCTCCAGCACCTCTGGGACAACATCCCGTATGAAGAGTTCTTTGATAGTGAAAGTTCAATAATTCACACAGGGAAAAAAGCCATGAAATCTTAATATTTATTCTTAGATTTACAAATGTATACCAATATAGCTCCGAGAGTGGACACTTAAAAAAGAAAGTGATCTTATATTAAAATATACATAATATAAGAAATTCTATACTATAGCAAGCCTTTACAAACCCTTACCAGCCCTTATAAAAGGTAGTTCGCTTACTCTCTTTCGGGTGTTATTTAACGCTCTGCACTACTGAGAGACCCGAAAAGAGAGCGCGTTGCGGGAGCGGGCCTTGTAAAGACCAGAAATTCCACGCACAGTGGGTAAAAAAATGTCTCTCTTAAAGCCGCAATACATCACATTAAATAGAACAGATAACAAAACTTTCGACAACGTCTCCCCCTTTATAATAAACAATTTTATAGCCTTTTATGTGTCCGGGAGGTATATTCTGTAGAAAAAATACAGATCAGGCAACAAGACTTCTTAAAATCACCAAACTCCACGATTTTGTTGTAAGAGCAATGGAACACAAAATATTTAACTTCTCCAAAAGGGTCTAAAAAAACGCAAAACACAAACACGACGTACTCCATGAAACCGGACTCATTATCCTAACATTCGATACACCAACGTCACATCAACATATAATGATTGGATATGAACGAGCGAACGAGAGCCGGACAGTAGCAGATGAGATGTTCCAGGGTTTCGATAGCCCCAGGTTCATCACATTTCCTACAACTGTCTCTGTTGGTGATGCCTAGCTTAGCTGCATGTGCAGCAGCCAGACAGTGACCTGTAAGTATTCCCACTAGCAATCTACAGTCCTTTCGTGGTAGGTGCAGTAGGTAGTGGCTAACTTTCTCGTTGCGTTCGTTGCACATTATCTTCGAGGTTCTGCAGGTGGTGGTACTACTCCACCTGCTATCAGTCTGTGTTCTAGCCTGCTTCTCTAGATCGCATTGCAGCGTTCTAAGGGAGACTGGCACGTTCTCGGTTCTCCTATTCTCCAGCTCGACGCCTTCCTTAGCTAGTACGTCCGCCGCTTCGTTTCCTTCGATGCCCTGGTGGCTGGGAACCCAATAGATCCGCACTATATTTTCCTATATTCCTATTTTTCTATATTTACTATGAATAAAAAAAAGCCCAATCACAAACTAAGGATCTGTATAAAAATTTTGTAAAAACTATTATAAGTATGAGCTTCTCTAAAAATGTTAAATGATATTTATTAGATTTAAAATAACTATCTACACATATTATTAATGTGACTAGCGCAATAAACAGAAGTGTAAATTTGTAGAGCTAGGATAAAGCATGAAAATAAATAAATAAAAAAAAAACTACGGGTCATCACCTGAAACATACATCCAAACAAACATAAGCCAACACGATCCCAACATCACGACCAAAGCTCCCAAGAAGGAATGGATATGGATACAGACACCACAGGATCTGCTAAGACTACCAAAACCACAACAAAAATATTCTACAATCAGAACGGAAACTCGGAAGTCGCTCTAAGGACAAAGAAAAACATAACCTGGTCAGCAAACACCTCAAGGCTAAGGATAAGATCAAAAAAACTAAAACTCTCAATGCAAACCTAGCTTTATTATCTAATAATTCACTAACAAACTAAACTAACAGCGAAAAAGAACTTTAAATACCAAACCATATTAATAAAGAATACTAAGCTCTAGTATTGAGCAAACTAATTATTCTACCACTTCTACCACATCTAACCCCAACTTACTTGCAATCCCTGCTAAATTTACCCTATATTGCAACAATAACATCGCTAAGGCATTTATACGCAACTCCACCTTCCATATCTATACCCAAATTCCATTTAGCACAGACTTTGACGAAAATCGAAATCAAAGGTCCTCGAAAACGAATCCTTCAAAACCTGTAACCTCCGTATCTCCAAAAAAGCAAACCCATCTCCCCCACGACTTACCTCAAAACCGTTCTTTAAACTAAAAAATACTGGCTGGGATCTCTACAGGAAATATATAATTCACTATAATATATAGTGGAATACCACTCCAAAGTGCCCACCTTTCTATCCCACAAAATATCCCTTTTTCCACCCCACGTACCGTTCCCTGGCGGAAAAATAAACTTACACTCCTCAGAAGAGACTCAAACGGAACATAAACAACCATAACAACATAGAACTCAAAAATCAAATGCTTTATTCAAGAGAGTAATCAGGGAAGCCAAACGGAAATCGATCCTGGAATCCATTTTATTTATAACCCTTACACCCAATCAGCCACAACCAACCAAACAAAAATAACCAACTGCTTCGCCCAAGCATGGTCAGAAGAAGCAGATGATCTCCCCAATATTCCGCTTGAACAAACTCCATCTAAATTCCCCTACCAATAATACCTCAACCCCCACAGCACCAGAAAACGAGACTGATATATCACTTAACCAAAAAGTCCCACAGTTAACATCCGAACAGTCTTTAACCAAATAGATGACTGGTGCATACACTCAGTCCTGGGATCAGTCCTCTCTACAGAGAAATGCCAACTCCTATGCCGCAATAATGATTGCAAGCCCAAAATTCTCACCGGTGACACTTAGAATCTTAGGCCTCACAATTAACACCAGATATAATTGGAATTGTCACATAAACAAACTCAAAACAGACCTTGCTAGTCCACTAGGCATTATAAAACACCTCTCTTCATGTCTCTCTCTTCATGAAAATGTGCGTGTGAGCATGTCGCAATTGCGTGAAAGGCACGAGATGAACGTTGTTGGTTGGTTGGTTAAAGGCCGACAAACAAAAAATTTTGTACACTCAATTGCTCATAGACATTAAATGGCTGAAGATGCTGGGTCAGCCAGCTAAGTCCAGGACATCCAGCTGAACTTAAGACACCGCAAAGCCAACGATTATGTCGCAGCAGAGCAGGGAAGTTCAGAAGAGGTGAAATACCGACATGATGGGGTTTCTTAGCTTACCATCGCAGTGTTTATTCTAAAGGACATTTCATACATATTTCAAATATTCAACAATTTAGAATAACGTTTAACATTTTTAATTCATACAACACCGATGAACTTCAATTCCGTCTTGATGTGGTGATCTTCTTCACAGTGAAGAGTAAAGTGTTCTTGTTTGTTGGATAAAGGGGAACTGAAAATTGAATAGGTTTACTAAATATTTATTTGTGAGAAATTTGTGCATTACCTATCCATTGCTCTGGTCGCTACGGGCTCTAGCTGATGCTGCTTTGTTCGCCCTACGGGTCGACGTCGGTCACATTATGTACCCGGTTATGTACGTCGGTCAGCAGCAGCTTTGGTGTTTGCTATCCATCTCCGTGCTGGGTTTGGTCCTCTTCCGGGTGCTCCATTATCTTGCTGCTCAACCGGGTTATATTCTGCGATTGATACAAAGTGTGGAAATTATTGAACAAGGATAATCGGGCAATAGGAAACACACGGTTTGAGTGCGTTTCGAGCAGTATAGATTAATCGAAAGGAAAACTAAATCAGTTTAGTTGACGCTTAAAGTAGTGGGTGGGTCTACCAGAGAATATGGAGAATACTCCATACTCCAGGTAGTACCCAATCAAGTCCCCCACTGACTCACCTTCAACTTGCGGTGTTTGGCCTCTTTGTCGTTATCGGGCGGACTTTCGGAGCCATCAGTGGTCTTGATGAACGATGAGTAGAAGGACGAGAAGCTAGAGCCGTCCATGTCGTCGCTGTTTCCATTGCTGTCTGTGTATTTCTTTGTGCATATTTGTATTTCAGATTGTGTAAAAGCTAAAGAGAGAAGTTCGCTTATCTTACCTTCACGTTTGCTCGATTTCTGGAGCAAGCCTGGTTGGAGTTGTAGTCGCCTATGCCGGAGGCGATGGGCGAGTTGGCCTTCTTTTTGTTGGACGAATGTGACGGTGTGACGTTCGAGGCGGGTTCCGTCTTGACCGATGTGTCCTGTGAGGACGGGCGTTGCAGCTGGGCGGGTGTGATCGAGTGGAAGGCTCCCTGTGTTTTGGGCGTCGTTGTCGCCGTTGTCGTTGTTATCGTCGGCGGCGCCACTATGACCTGTTGAGTCTGTCGGACCAGTTATTTAGATGCTGACTAGTGAGGAGAGTTTCCAGCTAACTTACCGAGAAGACGGTCTTGCTGTAGTTGGACTGCGAGGTGCTAGGCTGCTCCGGGAGCTGCATTGCATTGGCTATTCCGGGAAAGGGCATGGGCTGGTACATCATGGCCGTGGCGGCTGCCGCCGCCGGGTGCGTGTAGAAGAGCGACGGGTGCGGATACATCACCCCGGTCACGTACTGGAGAGGTATTGCGGCTGGTCCCGCCGCCTGCTGTGAGGTGCTTGCCTGATCTGGGACCTTCGGGGCATGCTGATGGGCATGGTGATGGTGCTTTTGGTTGCGGGGCGTGGGGCTAAGCGCACCCGGTGCAGGCGTGGAGGCGGCTAGCGGGGTGGCTGGAATATAGTAGAAGGTGGGGAAGAGACTTTGCTGAGCCGAGAAGCTGCTCTGGGCGATGGCCGTGTGAGTGGTGTGAGTGGGGTGGACAGGTGGGATGGGGGCCTCGGGCGCACCCGTTCCCACGCCCACACTGTTGAGAGTGGGCTGCTGCTTGGGCTTGTTGCCCTCGCCCTCCCAAGAGTAGGACCCGCCGCGCTTGGTGCCGTGGCCGGGACCAGTGCTGCTGTACTCGAGTATCTTCAGCGAGTCGATTGTGTTGGTCGTCTTGTTCTTGTTCTTTTCGACGGTACGGCGGTCCCCGCGTGACTCTCGGTGCTTCTTCAGCATGAACTTCTCCATCTCGTCGTTGTGCTTGTTCAGAAGCGACTCGGTGAGTGAGACGGGCGGGGAATCGGGAGTGCCAGCGGTGGTTCTGGTATCCTGCCCACCACTGGAGGGACCTTCGCCGCCGGAGGTGCCCGATCCCGATCCAGAGGCAGAGTTTTCGGCGCCCGACTTGTCGGGTCCAGTGTTGTCGGGTCGAGAATTGCTGGCGCCAGAGATGTCGGGTCTGGGGTGGTCGGGTCTAGAGTTATCGGCTCGAGAGTTTTCGGCCCGAGAGTTTTCGGCGCCGGAATTGTCGGGTCCAGTGTTGTCGGGTACGGAATTGTCGGCGCCGGAATTGTCGGCCCCGGAATTGTCGGGTCCAGAGTTGTCGGCGCCAAAGTTATCGGCCGCAGAGTTATCGGCCCCAGAGTTATCGGGCCGGGAGTTATCGACGCCAGAGTTATCTGCGCATGAGTTTTCGGCGCCAGAGTTATCGGCGCAAGAGTTTTCAGCGCCAAAGTTGCCGGGGCCATAGTTGTCGACTGCATAGTTGTCAGCAGCAGAGGTGTCGGCGCCAGAGGTGTCAGCGGCAGAGGTATCGGCGCCAAAGTTGTCGGCGGCAGAGGTGTTGGCGGCAATGTTGAAGGCCGCAGAGGTGTTGGCGTCCATGTTGCCGGAGGCGCAGGTGACAGTGCCGGTCCCGGAGGTGGCTATTATTGTGCCGGTTCCCGTGACCGTACCAGTGCCCGTTCCAGCATTGCTTGTGTTGGTCGCACTACTCATGTGTATATTGCTGCCGCTGGTCAAGTGGCCTGAGGAGCCACTGGCGCCACTGCCCTCGAAGCCGTTCAGGGGGCTAAGCGTGCTGCGGGCATCCTCGCGGGTGCTGCTCACATCCGAGGACCCCACTTTTGGCGGGTCGACTTCCACGGGTGCAGTGACAGGCTTGCTGTTAAAAAAACGCAGCAGGTTCTCGTTATAGTTTAGTTGATTGTAGCTGGGTGGCGTCTCAATGGAACTCTTACTGTCATAGTAGTCATGGTGGGGCGAGATTTCACCCAACATGACGCTGTCCCGCTCTGACACAGTCAGCTCGTTCTCGTGCGGCAGCTCCAGCTTAAGGTCCGCACGCGACACCTCGTCCATAAGTGTCTCCATGAAGCTGGCCAGGGCTTGGCACCGGCGCGACACCTCCTGCTTGACCGTGTCCGAGGGTCGAGAGACTTTCTCGGCCAGTAAATTCACGATTTCCTCCTTAATGCGTGTGTTCTTGTTCTGCAACTCCTCCGCGATCTTCGGTTCCGAGTTGGGCGGCGTCTCGAAAACGTTACATATCTTCGGACCTACCCACACGGAAGCAACAAAAATTATCAGTAAAGAGTTTGGTCAGGGTGTCTTTGAATAAGGAGGTTATAATTCCTCTAGTTCTTTTATAGCTTTCATCATGTTAGTGAATAGTTTAGGAACTAAAAAATATGTCAACCCAGGCCAAAAAATCTCTAAAAAACACATTTCCATATACTTTTGTACCGATATTATTTTCTAAATTGATTAAAATTCAACTAGTTTAACAAAATGGCATATAACTTCATTAACCTTGATGTGAAAACCCATTAAAATAAGCGAAACTTCGCTTTTTCGGTATTTGTATGGTATTTCCTTTACTATTTTTTTTCTCCTATAAGAAAGATGAACCCCATCTTTTGTACTAAAGCTAACAAAATGCCGTCGAATCGCCTAAAAAAACCTGGGGATAGATTTGGTTTTCTATGTATATTTGTTTGTATATCAAAAGCAGACTTATAACGGATAATATACAAATATAATGTCCATGCTATCTGAAGCCCAGAAGAACGAAATGAAATACTGCTTGGAACTTCCTAGGAGGCGCATTATAAAAGCTATACAGAAACTCACCCTGAAACACACGATGATGGCCGACAACAAACTCGAGCTTACGTGACCAAGGGTTCACGAAACTGCTCCACTCCGTCTCAAGAAGGATGTAGCAGCCGTTTTGAATGAGGAAGCGATAGGGCTTGCTGCAGAAGGAGGCGCCGGCCGTTTGGCCTTTCTTCATGACAGACTCGTATATCTCCTTAATGACGGGGAGGTCATCGTGGTGGTAGAGGTCCATGATGGATCGGCCCATTAGGTCCTGCGGAAGGTAGCCCAAAGCACTCACCGCCGCGCTGTCCACGTGCGAGATAATGCCGGCGGCCGTATGGCGGATGGCGAATTTGGGGCTCCTCTGCGAATGGATCTCCTCGGGAACTGTGGTGAAAGAGAAGAGGGGCGGTAAGAAAGAGACTACTGAGAGGAGAGGCTGACAGCCTACCTCTGTAGCTGCTCTTGATGGGGGTAGCACAAATGACGAGCAGCATGTTGCTGCTATTTGCGACCATGTAGTTGTCGGAACGCTCCTCCTCGGGCGCCTCGCGAAATGACATTCCCAGGCGGAAGGGCTCGTAGTTCACGGACCGGCCGATCACTCCGTAGCCACTGGTCTGAAGGCCCCGATACTGGCGCAGCATCACGCAGAAAGTGCTCCTGGCATCTTTGGGCATGCTGCAGCGCGACTCTGCAATGGGAATGCCCGTGGTGATCTGGCTGGCGAACGTAGCCCGGTCCTTGGTGTGCACAAAGTCGATGAAGGAGCGGCCTAGCCACATATCACGCGGAAAGCCCAGCACGTCCGTGATACTGGGCGTGGTATAGAGCACGATGCCGTCGTGCATTGAGATCACACAGCAGAAGCTGTCCTCCTTCACGCGCTCCGTCTTAGCCGGGCCCGTGTCCAGCTTGCAGGACTCAAAGGTCTTTTCCCACTTGCCGCCTGGTGCGTTGCCGCCATGGCAAACGCCGATGCCCGGCATCAGGGTGGACACAGAGAGGGGACAGGGCAGCGAAAAGGACTGGGACTGCTCCGCCTTGCCGACCCCGCAATTGTGCCTAGCCTCCAGCTGCTCGCCAAGCTTATGGTCCAACGAGGACGGCTGGTCGCCCAGCTGCTGTGTGGTCGCCATCACATGCAGGATTTTCTGGTCGCAGGCTGTGCTGCTGGAGTGCGGCTGCTCTTCGGCTCCCTCCAGCGACGAACCGATGCTCGCTTGAGCTTGTGTGCATTTGGCCTTCTTCTTCTTGCGCGACTTCTCCTTGTTGCGCTTTATGGCCATGTCGCTGCTACTAGTCTGTATTGAGGGTTTGCCCCCATAGCCGCTGCTGCCCGACGAGTGGCTACCGCTTAGCATGGACTTTGAACTGCCACTGTAGGGAAGATGCATACGTGAATTAGATTTTGGGGAGGGAAGACGCTGGAGGTCACTCACCTGCGCTGCGACTGACTGTTGCTGCAGCTGTTGGAGTAGGCCGAATCGGACACCTTGGTGTTTTGTGTGGACTCTGTTGACTCGCCTTCCATTGTGTCTGTGTTTTGTGACTCTCGTAGGATTTGTTCGGTAATTCGACTCTTAGAGAAGGTAAAATACGGGGTTAGGATTAGGTTTTTAATCGTTATTGCATGATATCATCGAATCTGATCTTTAAAAATTCCCAACAAAATATTCATCGTATACTAAAAAATAGAGGTACTTGATGTAGCTTCATTGCGGCTTTGCCAGTTGCGATGGATATAGGCATGTATTAGATTAGTGGTGAAAGTGGATGTTTCTAACAACCAGAAGGAAGCACTTCCGACCCCATAAAGTATCGATATTCTTGATCAGCATCAGCAGTCGAGTCTATTGAGCCTTGTCTATCTATCCGTCTTGTTTGACGCCTAGTTCTCAGAGACCATAAGATCTGGAGCCCTCGAAATTTTGTATCCATACTCTTGTCTATCAGATTCGGATCATCATTATTATACTAAGAAGGAACAAATGCAATTGCAGTGGATTCGCAACGCCGTCCAATCGCTTACTTGTTTCTTCTCTCTCATACACTCTTCCTCGTGCAGTGTGCGCCCTTTGTGCGGAGGGGAGCTGACTGGGAGCGAATGCTGACTGGGGTTTGGGTATAAATTTATAGCCGCGATCTTGCTCACAACGTTACCGCTCGATTCATAGTCTGGAGCTAGTAAAGATGATTGCTTTAGGTAATGATGTGGGGCCCCGTTGTATGGGATTTCTAGCGGGCTTTTCTCACAAAGAGTACAGTGGTATATTTCGTTCCGTGAGACACGTAAGCTCCGTTCTACATGGTAATACAGACACCTTCATAAGTAAAACCATATCATACAAAAGAAAAGAGGAAACATTAACAATGATAAAAAACATCATTATTGGGTCGCTATTTCTTCAGGTATATTCCATCTATCGTCGCGAATCAAAAATCGTGTGCAAGGTCGTGCAATTGTCTTTTCAATTGAGTAATTTCTGTGGGTATCTGCGCTGCAGATGCCGAGTAAAAATCATGAAAGTGCGCAGTCATAAAATCGCGGTATTTAAAAAAGTTTTTGGTGGTATATTGTATTTATATATATATACATATATCCCATTTTGAGGAAGTGATCTCTCCATCTAGACCTACAACTATCGTACATTGTTATAATTAAGGGTGCTGTCACTAAACAATGAAATTGTTCGAAAAACTTAATGTATGTATGGAATATTAATGTGGAATCCGGTTGTGGCACCCCCGTATATGCTTATATTGCAGCGTCCACGGGTATTCTCTTATGAGCTTTTCGCATGTACATATGTACGTGTCGGGTCGAGCAAATGGGGGGCGACATCTGGGAGTATTTGGGAGCAAGCTGGAGCGTCCCAAAGGGTAAGCTGAAGCCGAGAGTTACATATGTATGTACATACATATGCATCTTTGAATGTGCGTCACAGCTGAGTACGTATGTCCCAGCATACCATGGTAATGAATGAGACGATCGTCGATTCCCATTCATTCGTTCATTGCCATTCATTGTATGCGCAGTACGCAATAAGGCTTACTGGTTTTATTCAGCGAGGACTGCCAAAAAAAGAAGATACTCGTCGTTGTAGGATAAGTTTACGAGTATATTTAGGTACATATCCATATGCATGAATGCATTATATCATTTTGTTTTGATGTCGTTTTTCCAACGTGCCAAACTGGAGCCGGTTGGGATAGGCGTTTTTCCATCTCCCACTCGGCGCTCTCAGCCACTCCAGCCACAGGCATTTCGCTTGCTCTCGTCATGTCGCCTATCGCTTTTAATAATACACACTTAACACGTTACGAGTGGAAAAACAACGACTTTTGTTTATGTAAGTTGTCGTTTTTGCTTTTATTTTGCAAACATGATAATGCAAACAGTTCTCTCAGCCAAGGGTATTGTTTTATACAACAACGTGACGTCTCCGTCTCTCGCGTTGGGGCTCACTGTATTCGCCCTGGGCTCAATCGGACTTTCCAAGAGCTGATCGGTATGAATTTGCATACATGTATGCATATGTATATATTTACTTCACTGTGAACTGCTTAAGCTTCAGAACTGGCACCGATAAAAAAAGATTGTAGATGTGCCATAAAATGCATATCTGGATAGCATGCGCGGTGTATAGTGTAGGTGTTCTGCCCTGGACGTTTCTCGACTTTTCTCGACCTACTTGTTGGAAATTCAAACGGGTACTGAATGATACCCGAGTGGGAAACGTGCACTGCGGCGCCCGCGTACTCGCTCTGGGGCATGCATGCATTCATTCCGTTCTTCGGCAATCCCGAATCTGCATTGCCAGCCTCGGCTTTTATCGTTCGGCATTCATTCATCGCTTCAGTATACATCTGTGTGTATGTATGTGCAACAACGCTTTGGTTTCGCCTTAACCCTTAGGTAGCGTCCAGTTAGCATTCGCTAAACTGGTGCAATATTATTCACTAACTGTATATAATTTGGCATTGAGATTTTCCAAGATGCGGTACCAACATTTTTCACCGCACAACTGAGTTTCTGTCATTTGGTGATCGGCTCGTATGAACTTCTGTTCCACAGCATGTGGCTGTGTAACCCTCGGGCACCGGCAGTGGGTTAAAAAGCAGCAGCGCAATCAGACAGGAAAAGATGCCGACGCATCTGGCTTCGATTAGGCACTGGGGGTGGTTGGTCCACTGGGTGAGAATTCGGATGGGCGCTGCTTTGAAGGCACGTTGAGAACACTTTGTGCTCGAATTTTGCAAGTTCTGCGGGGCTCGGGCGCTTGAGTGCCTGCGTGGAAGTGGGAGTATTTTTGTGGGTCAGTCACGCATTTCGGCCACGTGAGCAGCCGGCGAGCATCATCACCACCTGCCACTCTTTCGCCCTACGCCTTGGCAAGGGCTGCTGCGACCCACATGCATACAAACTACGTACACTCTGGCTCCAGCTTATCCTCCGATAGTATGTTCAATAAAATCTGAAATGAGTGCTATTACTCAGTCTGAGTACCAGCCCCGTACAAAGTTGTGGGAGCCGACTGTTTCGCAGTTCTAGCATATTTAATTCAAGACTATCGCATAGGCCTAATATTCGCCGCAAATAGGTTTCTGTGAAGCGATGACGACGTGTCAATTCAAAAAAGTATGCACCTTGGCGTTGCATAGACTCGCAACAGAATCGAAAACGCACTGCAGCCAAGATGTATGCTTTGTATGCCATTTTCAAATGTGAACCGCAGAGATAACACTATGCAACACAATTTTACTTTTTAAGCATGGTACTTGGACAATTTAGAGACAGTATTTTAGTCATTAGATTTGACTCCCAGGGCATCAGACTGAATTGATTTTGTTTCCACATTATGCCATCCCCACTACCGCCTCCCCAAAGATAGAAAATACAAAACCATAGAGAATCGGAAGAAATCGAAACCATGGATTAAATCGGATCATTACGTACTTACTTTCTGTCACATTCGTTTTCATACAGCTTGCGCGCTCTGGCGGAAGGGAGCGAGATGTAACGGCTGGTGTTGGGTTGAGAAAAGAGCGCGAGACAGATGTAGCGGAATACAAATCAATATCGGATAATTAAATCAAAATTATAAAATTCTACGAAAATAGGCCATTAGGTGGAAAAATTATAGACTTTTATGTATATGTCATATATGTATGTTTATGTTATATTATAACTATTAAGTCTATGTTTTCCGTAAAATTACTCAAAACTAATGATTATCACTGAAGAAAAGCGTACAAAACTGACCTATCTATTCAATACCATGACAATACCGGTCCCTTAGAGGTACGAATAGTCAACAGCCAAGCTATAGAAGCTATCTTCGCGGTCATAAATTGAGTTACATGCCAGCCACTCGACAGAAGCTCTCTATCCCTTGCTCCCTCCTTTAAGGTGACAATTAAAAGTCATGTGGATGTGATGCAGGTAGGGAAATAGTAGGCAAAATTTAATTATTTAAGTCGAATTATTTAAAGAACTCGGACTGAGATACTGGCATACAAACTTACAGTGGGGAGCAAAAGTTAGTACATAACAGCTAAACGAATAAAACAAAGCAAAAGAACTGTTTTACCGTATCAATCCTCTTTATTCTTAGCAAATAGGCAATAATAACAAAAACAAATGAGAAGTTTTCAAAGAAAAAAGGAAAAAAAGCTCGCATATACTCATTTTTGCTCTTTTCGTTATTTGCACCTATTTTCGCTTTCTCAAGTTTCTTATCATCAAAAAGCGTGCAGATTTACAATTAAATCTCTTCTTTTTGTAGGTTTGTTATACAAACATCACATTAAGACGTGCTTCTTACAAACAAAGCAGATCTCTTAAATCTAATAGACAGTGTCTACCGCGTGCTTAAAAATGAAACAACTATCGTTAGAAGTTGAAAATAATATTGTGTGCCTTACTGATAGTGGCTGTTCAACACGTAATATTGCTGAAAAGCTTAGAATTAGTCAATCGGTGGTGATCAGAGTACAAAAAAGACGAAATGCTGTCCCCAAACTCCAAGTCCAAGGCCGCCCTAAGAAGTTAACGGACTCAGACGCTAGACTTATGATGTTGGAAATGAGGAAAAATAAGATGCTAACACCAAAGAATGCTTCTATGGCCATAAATAAAAATGTAAGTTGCTGGACAGCTAGAAGAGCCCTTCACAACATAGGGTACAAAGCAGCTGTTAAGAAAAATAAACCTGCGATGTCGGAAAAAAATGTTAAAGCAAGGTCGAAATTCGCAAGGGATCATATAAATTGCACCACGGATGATTGGAAAAGTGTTATCTGGTCTGATGAATCCAAAGTACGTATTACGTTGGCGTAGGCCCGGAGAGAAGCTTATGGTTTGGGGATCTGTTACATGGTGGCACTACAAAAATGCGAAAAGAGGCCGACTAAAGTCAGTAATTACAAGCATGGTCTCTGAAATGACGCAAATTTTAATACATTCTGTTTTTTTTCTACACTGAAAAAATATTTCGAGAATATTTATCTATTTTGGCGCTAAAAGTTCTTTTGCTATATCTGAAATAAATTTTTTTTAGTGTAAAGCAATTAAACGTTTGGCTTCGTGCCTGTTGTCTACGAACACACACAAACAAAGTTTTACAAAGAAAAAAACCAGAAAATTTATTTGTTGCTTTATCGTTCTTTCTACGAGAAAATCAAATGGAGGGTGAGATCGAGCGGAGCTGACACAGTAAAAATGACGAGACCTGCTTCGTTCAGTCCGTTTCGGGGCGAGCGATTCGAAGATTTGGGAAAGCTAAGTCGCAGATTCTAACTTACCGAATCCCACCGAATAGATTCAGTTTTCAGTTCATGCAGGGCTCTAATATGCATGTCCTTACCCTGATATGGATGATAAAAAAACTTTTTTCAGATCTTGTATGTATTTTCAAATAAAAATATTAATTAAAATAAAATTTTGAGCTCCAAATAAAAAAATATGTATGAAATAAATAGCTAAAATATTTATATTCGCCATGTTATAAACTTTAATAAAATGTAATGGTTAAAAAAATAATAGTTTATTGTCTTCCGTGCTCTGCCCACGTCACAATGGTTAAAAAATGTTTGATTTTGGGTTTTGGAAAAATAATGCAATATTCGGAAAGTTAATAGTAGTAAACTTTTTTTGAACCCTATGGCAACCCTGCACTGGTAGCTGGTCGATTACAGCCCCGAAATGTGTGAAAGAGCGGGAATATGATGCCAGTCCTCGCCTTATTATTATTCAGAAATTGTTAATCGAAAATAAATGTATAATATGGATAATAAACATCAAGGAGTTTATAACTCATATTACAAAGAGCTAGAGCCTTCTTTTATTCGTGTGTTTTGTTGTCTAGTGTTACGTAGGTATACATACATATATCCATTAAGCTAAAAAATCTATCAAATGTAGTTCTGTGTTGTAGAGTTTTTACTCGATATAACAAAATTTAGAAATTGCTTTTTATTCGACAAATTTGACAAAAACAGCGTACAACCTACCCCAATATTCAAAAAAGTTTAATGTATCCACGCCAAAACAAGACAAGATTTCACCAATAAATTTCAACATATATGTGATAAGACTGTTGTCTATACACAGCAAAATATACATGGTATCCTACATATGTCAGCCACGCTTTATAAAATACCGCTCATGGATCGCAAATAATATCAGCTTCTGTAGTTCCTATTGGAGTTTTGGGTGAAAGTGCTTCGGAAATACATAATAAATGTAATAAAAAAAATCGCAGATCTCATTCAATGCAAAATAGTCGCCTTAGCCATATAACTGATACCTTTTTTGGAACTATGGACTCAACAGACCCGTTCATTTCTAGTCTATGCGGTGCTGAAAGAAAAGGTTCCAAGAAGGAAATTGACCTTCCCAAAGAATCAATTAATCTACTGGCATAGTCGGAGTCTATTTATAAATATAATAATGCAATTGTAGATAATGATTCTGACAATGAAGATGAAGGCGATGTAGATATTAATAATAATGTAATATATATTTTTAATTATAATAATATTTTTTTATTTAATCATATTTAATTATTTCCCCATAAAGTGCCGGTTGATTGGCCGATCTGAAAAGTTTTAGTGAATTTTTGAGGCAAAACGAAAATCCTTTGCGTAGGTGATTCAATTATCTTTAAGAAAGCAATGTTTTTGTTTTATTTATGGAGAAAACGTATAGTATTTAGGCTGCGCAATGTCAGGCAAGGTCGCGAAAACTATTCGGTGCCAACTGCATCGAATGTGGACGGATGGGGTAGGCGTTCACCAATTCGTCCGAAAATTTCTTTATTTGATATGCTGTCTAATAATAATAAATGCGCAAAATTTCATGTCTATATGTATATTTTTAGGCTTTAAGCAAAAAAAAGGCCTTGCACAATGCAGAATGGTCCATTGTCGCTAGTGACGTAGATGCGCAGAACAGAACGGGCCACTTCTGCGCACTTCTTTTCGCTATCTTCTTTTTCTGTATCGTAATCTGTGTGTCTATCTCTGTCCAACTTAAATTTGGTTATCCGACTTAACAGGAAACCTTCAGTGAGCGTTGAGGCTCAGATCATGATAGAGATATGGCCATCGGAGTAACACGACGACTTTTCCGGTTTACAACGAAGGGCGCCTCTTCGCAGTCATAAACTGAGTTACATGCCAGCCACTCGGCAGATCCACATCGGTCAGAGTTTTCTTTGTGTTCATACCCTTGGAGAGGGTCCTATTATTTGTACCAGATGTTTGCAACTCACAGACGGAAGTATTGAGAACCCAAAAAGTACATATGAACCCCTTAACCTTATATTTGGCTTAATGCAGTAACTATATAAGACTTACTGTATCATATAGCTGCTTTAGGAACGTCCGATCCCAAAGGGTACACCGAGGCTAGTCTTTCTTTCTGGTATGTCATTGACACCCTATCCCCCACCCTCATTTCCACATACCCTCTATCTATCCCTCTCTCTCCCTCCTTTAACATGACAATTAAAAGTCATGTGGATGTGATACAAGTAGAAAGAGAAACAGTGCTAGGAATAAATACGAGTATGTGTGTTCGCTCGGCTCCAGATGGGGCTTAGGTAGGGCTCAGTTTGAGTCGGTTCGGTCGGGTTGTAAGCGATTGCCTTGTAATGACAGTTCTTAAAGCTACGTTTTTAATTTAAAGGCTTTTATGGCACCCGTTTCGGGGAAATTCGCTTAATGATCTCGTTTCATGTGGGTCTTAATTTTTACTTAGTTGGGTTGGGAGTGCGCCAAAAGTGAGATGTTTCGGAAATGGCCCATCGTGTAGCTATACGCATATAATATTGTCATTTCCTGTTGGGAATTCCTAATAAAATCAGAATAAGTCTAAGTTCTAGATCATAGATTTTCCCTGCTTTGCGTGATATTTGCTTCAATCAATCAATGTTGGTGGATTTCCAATGACGTTGCCATTAGCCGCCGAATGGCATGCTTAAGCCATCTTAGGCCCTTCAACTATAATTACCCATTGGGTTGCATGATTGCCATGATTTGGCCGCTGATTAACCAGCGACTGGGATAGGAATGATGCTTGCAACGCCGAGTCACGCACAGAGGCTCGCAAGTCGCGAGACATTGAACCGCGGGCACGTCAAACGGCTCGCCTTGAACTCGGTAAAGAGATATGCATGAGGTTTGAGCAAGGAAAATTTCCCACATACGCTTAATTCTTACAATGGCGCTTACGAATTTCAGAGAAGGGACAATTGGCGAACGGAATATGCAGTGGCTGAAAATGAAACTTAGTCAACTTAAATACCGCGATTTGGCGTAAGATCTGCGCAACTTTTTGAGAATGCAGACAATACTCGAATGTATACATATATGTATGTTTGTACTTGTATGCATGCTACATGGTGTGGACCTGGGTTTCTCGGAGAAGTGAATAGCTTGGGAGACTGGAGGCCGCGGCGGTCTTTAATGGCGGCATTATGTGCTAAACAATCCCAGACCTGCTCTATGGCTGAAGCACCACCAGAAATGGACGCGTTGGCGGTGGCAATTTCTCACGCTCTGGGTCCCATTGTTCCCACAATTTTCCATTCATTCAGTTTGCTCGCGATCTGTTCCTACTTGGTAATAAGTTTTTCTTTGCCTGGAATAAAAAAGCCACACACACACGCCCAGCACCAGTCCCAGTCCCAAGCCAGAGCCGAGAGCCATTGCTCTTGGCTGTCATCATCGTCGTCATCATCATCACCAGCACCGTAGTCGTCGCTGGGGTAATGAGTCTGTTTTATATGGGGTTAGTATGTAAGTAGAGGTCTGTACGATACACTCACGTCTAAAAAAAGTTGGATTCAAATCGAATTGCCTATCCTAAAAGTCCACTACCGAAGGGGAATGTCTGCAGATACACACGAGTACATCACTTCCTATCTCGAGCCCTGTTGACTTCTTTCTAATCAGATTTGGATCAGCAATATTTATAAAACCTTATTGTTTTGTTAAAGTGTAAATCTGATCGTATAGCTTACTAAATACTTCACTGCTTTCGATCATTACGAATCCTGTCTTCAGTCAGATTCGAATCATCGCGAATTAATAAAACCCGAATCCGAGCACTGCGAGTCTTAAACGATTCTACAAATACTAAGGAGCTCGTGTGCCTTCGTGTATGTCATCATTCGATTAACGTTGGAGTCTTGTGTATGAAATAACAAAATGATTGAAATCTAGTTAGTGCTGATCGTTATCCCCGTTAATTAGGTTTCGAAACGGTCCACAGAAACAAAAATTGAACCATCTGTGTTGTGATGTTTCGACAAATGGTCTCAAAATCGAATATCAATGTACAGTACTCTCAAAGTTCTGGAGCAGGGGTCGGCAAGGCCCTATCTTATGTGCATATTAAAGGGCGCTGCCGCTCACGATACACGTGTACATGTGAGTAAATGAGTGCCGACCTCTGCTCTAAAGAATCGCATAAGAGACACAGCCGTCCTTAACCAGGGATAAAGGAGTGTCCTTGCCATAAAGCGTAAAACGAAGAATTGGATGGAATTTTTTCGCAATGCAATATATCCGTAACTGTATGTCTGATTTGTTTTTTACTTCTTATTCTTTGGTTAATGTCAGATCTTGACCATTTAATGGGAGTGACATACTTGTGCACTCGTATGCAGAGAGCGAATGTGTCTAATCACTTTCATTATAGCTACGATTATCCGAATCTCCACTTCCTATGGCTGCGCGACGAGCACGTCTTGGCCCAGCTGAGAGTGCTGTCCGAGGTGTGGTCGTAAAATGATCGGGCCCCTCGCGTTATTGTCACTCCCTGTTTTGGCTGTGCCCCGACCCCCGGCCCAAGCTACCGAACATGCGAGCTGTCTGTCTCTCGCTGCCTCACTCGCACTCCCAGCCCAAGTTTTTTGCGCATGCGGCCACGGCGACCGTGCCGGAGCACGAAGCCGAGATCGCGACGAAGACCGAGTCGAAGACGGCCGCGGCCCAACTTCGTTTCGCGGCTTCGTCTACACTCGCTCAGTCGACTTCCGCCACGAAACGCGCTCGGACGTGCCTTACCGCTAGAAAAAGAAGTTGGGAAAGAGGAAGCCAGCGAATGGCTGGAATACTTGTACGGTTTTGACGGTTTTGTTTTTGTTTATTTTTGTTTTCGCTTTGTGTCCCTTCGCTCGGTGGTGTCTTTTGCTCTTTGTGTGTCCGCAGTGGCGCGTAACGAACAGTGCCAGCCCCGAGCAGTGCGGCAGCACTTGTCCTGTTCCCAGGATGCGCTTCACTGCCCTGCCGCACCTGTTCGCGATAATACTAACGAATATTCACTACCAAGGGTGTGTGCGCGTGTGAATTGTGTGTTGTGTGTTGTGTAGCCTGCAAAAGGTTGAACACGGAAAATAAATTTAAATTTATGCAAAGTTAAATGAAGGAAATGGTTAATATTTAAAAACTGAGCTCAACTGGTGGAGATACAACCTGTTGTGGGAACTGCCAATAAGGGAAATTCCCATCTCCTGGCTCTCTCCGAAGTCTCCAATCTGATCTAATGGCCTGCTATGTGATCGAGCGGCAACGGTAAGCATGCTGATTGTGGACATGCTGACGCTGGCACTAGCGACTGGCTTGGAGCGGGAGCGGGACAGGGAGCGTGAACGGGAGCGGGAGCGGGAGCGGGAGGTGGACGGCATTGCCTCAATTTGCTGCAAAATGACAGTTAATGTGGCCAACAAAGCGTCCAGCCAGCAGCACAATGAAAACGCAAATTGTAACAGCAGCAACAATAACAGAAGTGGCGGGGAAACAGGAGAAGTCGTGCCCAACATGGCTAATGGTGGACTAGGCCCGAACGATGGTCATTCGGTATGCACGGCACGCAGCTCACGAGACAATGCTGCTGGCAACGAACCATGCGAGGCGCGTCAGAGGCCATGGATACAGCTGAGCGGCCAGTTGGTGGGGCAGGAGCTGGAGCAGGGGTTGGAGCAGGGGCTGGAACCGTGGCTGGGGCCGGAGCTGGGGCTGGGGGCGTGCCAGGCAGCGACAGTGAGAGCGGATGACGTACCGAGTGACATATTGACGCACGCGCGTGCGCGTGCTGTATACATTGGCGACCACAACAACAGCAACAACAACAACAATAGCTTATGCAGCAGCAACAAAACAGCAACGGAAGTGGCTACGAAATGTGAGTACGCGCAAGTCGAGCGTGAGAGCCAGAGCCAGAGCGTGAGCGTGAGCGCAGACGCTGGCCAACAACCACCCAGTGACAGTAACGGAAAGAGTGGCAACGGGTGCAGCGCCTGCTCAATACCTACAATTGGCAGTGAGCTTTCCAAAGCCAACCTTGTAGTAGCACCACCAGCGGCAGTCGTCGCAGCTGAGCAGCAGAAGCAGCACCAGGAGCAGGACCAGCACCACGACCAGGACCAGGGCCAGCACCAACACCAACACCAACACCACCAGCATTTTTCCACATCCTCAAAATTGTGCAAACTGTCCGATTCTGGTGAAAATTGTGAGCAAATCTGGCGACAGACGGAAACGGAAGAGCACCAGCAGCGGTCTACAGGAGGAAAAAACTCTGCTCACGACGCGGACTCTGACTCCGACTCCGTCTGCGACTCCGTCTCCGACTCCAACTCCAACTCCGACCGCGACTCCAACTCCAAATGCGACGACGACGCGCGGCGTACAGAAAAATTTGTGGAAAAAGTCGGGCAAAACGCATTGTCTGCCTGCGTGGTAGGTGATTTTTTTTATAATTGTGAAAATGTGCAAAGCAGCACAAAAGAAGCTGCAGAAGCAGTAACAGTAGCAGCAGCAGCAGCCGTAAGCTGCCACAGCCACGCCAAGTCGAACGGGCAGCAGAAGAAGCAGCAAGAGGAGTGGCAGGCGCCATTGTCATTGCCATATTCCCCGACAGACCCCCCCAGTTCATCCTTGGCTGGCAGTGTTGATAATGTTGCTGGTGTTGCTGTTCCCCGCCCACCACAAAGTGTCCCCGTTGTTGTTGCTTGTGGTTACGTGGATTACGTGAAAACCGTCGCAAACAACAAGGCCGCCCCAGGGCAGCCATCGGAGCCCCCCGCAGCAGAGGTAGCTGTACGGACTGGCAGCAGGAGCAAACGCCGAGAGGAGGAGACCCAAGCATCGCTGGAATTGGATCTGGGATCAGCCACACTTGCAGCATTTGCAGCATTCGAGAAAAACGAGAAGCTCTTCGACTGTGAATCGTTGGAGCCCCCTGTATCTGCTAAAGATTTGGGAAATAGCCCGAAGGAGAGCTGCATCAGAGCCAAGGCAACGGCAACAGCAACAGCAACAGCAACAGCAACAGCAACAAGCTGCAATGAGCAGGATCTCATTGATTTTGAGAACGATTTGGGTGATGATTTTGTAGCCAGTCAGCGGCTGAAACGCTTGCAATACAATTTTCAGGGACGCGTGAGCAGCAACAGCAACATTGATTGTGTAAAGGCATCCTTGAGACTCGAACAACAACTACAGCAACAGCAGAAAACAACAGGCATAACAAAGAAACTACCCCCAGAGCGAGGAGTAGACCCCAACCCCAGCCCCAGCCCCAGCCCCAGCCGCAGTCCGACTGCCACGACAGCGACGACAGCGACGACCCCCCAAAGCCAACCCGCTCAACACAATAAAATAGTTAAGGAAACTGCCGCCGAAACTAAGGAAGGTGCAGCCGTCGCAGGCTCAAGTGCAATTCAATTAAAGGTAAATTGTATTCGAGTCGAGCAATCGCCAAGTGAGAGCGAGCAAACTCCAGCGACCAGAGCGACCAGAGCGACCAGAGTGGGGCAAACAGCTGAACAGCAGCAGCAACATTCGCTGAATACGCGTCCCGAGTCGCCACTGCGCCGGCGCGGAGAGAGCCAGAGTGCGGGCCAGATTGGGGCGCTCACATTGGCAGCTGCCAGCGACCAAGTGGTGATTGAAATCGGCACGGACACGGACAGCGACGAGCAAGTGGAGACGGGGACGGACATACCCATCCGGAGCGCATTTGTGCCGACCCAGGCCTGTGACGGCGGCCGCTTTGGCATTAGCCAGGAGGAGACCCCCGCCGCCGGCGTCAATTTTGCGACACCGCTCAGCGAGTTCGATGTGCAGCGGTTCAGCGAGTACCTAACGGCAGCCCGCCAACTGCAGTGGGTCGACATTGCCCTGAACCAGAGCCAGAGCCAGAATCAGAACCAGATTCCGAGTCTGAGCAACACCCCCATCCAGCATCGGAGGCTGAAATCACACGGCCCAAGTCAGGTTGATAAGAAGGCTGGAAACTTTCAGTGCTACGACGAACTGCTGGCAGAATTCGTGAGCGAGCAACAGGAATACCACATCGACATCGATAGCAAAAGCGATAGCTATAGCGATAGCAATAGCGATAACGATAACGATAACGACAACGACAAAGAGAGCACATGCCAGTGCCATGAGTGTCTAGCCAGCTTCGAGGATAGCCAGCAGAACACGGCCAATTGCAACAGTTCCAAAATAACAGCCAGGAACCCAACCACCCCGTCCGTCTTTGCTTCGGAAGCGGCAACCGGAGACGGCCTGAATATGCGCGAGGTCAACGGTCAACTGCGCGGCCTCTTGAAGAAACCCAATCGACCCCCGCCGGCCCGCAAGAACCGTGTGGTGTTCGATGAGACGCGCAACGAGTTCTTTGAGGCGGACTACATTATCCTGATCCGCGAGGACTGTGCCTACGATGAGGAGGACGAGGAGCCCTGCACCTGCGGCGAACACGAGCTAGTGCGGCTCTGCTGCGAGGAGGGATGCCAGTGCAACTACGCGGTCAATGCCGCAGAAGCCGGCGATGGACGAACGCCACAGGTGAGTTCAAGTTACCTAATTGGGGCGGGGATTGGACTCCCCACTCGAACAGCAAAGTTAAGCGCATTAGCGAGGAGCCCCGTCCAAGCGGGCACAACGTTGGTGGCACCCCATTCCCTACAGGGCTACGTTGCCGTTGGCTGAATGGTGGTGCTCTTACAAGATGTCAACGTACTCCACTTCATGAGCTGGTTCGGCATACTCTATGCGGGTAACACCGCATCCTTACTCATTACTCTGTCAAAGGTTTCAAGGACTACTCGTAGTATTCCTCCTGTATTCTGTATTCTGTCTCTGCATCAGTGAAAGAACTCTCGGGGTTTTACTATAGGTACTATAGGTTGTGCGAATCCTTTCCGAAGAGAGTTCTGCCTTTCGAAAACTAGTAAAACATTCTCCATTCAAACACTGTAATTGGGTACAGCCTATAGTTGAACAACTGGGACGGACTGGCTTCCTACCAACCCAACCTCCTCTTTGTTCATTATAGTTATAGTTGAAGTACTGTCACATTTCGCTTTAATTACTGCAAATGATATCCAACTTTTCATATCAATGTGTGAACAATTGAAAAGGCAAAAGCACAGCCCCATGGCCGGGCCTGCCCCGGTTCCTTGCCTCCGTGCACCGCTTCATTGTGGCGGACGAGCCGCAGGGCACATGTGCCTGTGCCTGGGCATGTGTTTGTCTGTGTCGCCTCTAATAGTTGCAAGTCTTACGCCCTCTTCCTCCTCTATTGACAAGTGTGTAAAAATCACTTCAAAACTTTTGTTCAAAATGCTTTCTTCTGCTAGTAACTGTAACTCGAAACTGCAGCGGCCGTGTCATTGTTGTCGTTGTCGAACTCCTTCTCTTTCGCCAGTGTACACACACACACACACGTATACATGCATATATTCTTTTATGAATTGGTCCCTGAGTGTGCGTGTGCTGTCATGATGGACGCATTTATGTGTTAAGGACATCGGGAAAGTTGTCGCCAGAGCCAGAGCGGCTGATACTGATACTGCCTTGATTCGGAAATTCCTGACTTGCTTCCTTCCTTAATTTCCCCCGACCAGCCCCACACACACACATGTACATGCACATACCGTATCGATCCTGAGCGGCCCTCGAGTTGCGTTTAAATTTCAATTTGCTGCCACATAAGCGACACTTAAGTGCACCGCTTTTTTGCTTATCTTCGCTGGTCGGAACGGGTCGGGTCGGGTCGGTAGAGGCCTAGTCGGCTCCCGTCTGAGAACGCAACTGCTGACGCCCAAGGCTCTTGACTTGGGGCTGCTCAAGCATGTTCTCCCCCATCCATCTGGCATGGTATGTCTGGCCATGCTCGTCCTGCCCGGCCTCTTCCCATCTCCGGGTTTGTCCTCTCTGAAGAGTTTAATATGCATTTAGTGGATGTAACAAGTTTACTGAAGGCGTTGCATGGTCCACAGCTACCCCAGGAAAAATTAAATCATATTTATTCAGACGTTTTCCCATTTCGAAGCAGAGTTTCAGACTCGGGGCCAGACTTGCACTGGGAAAAGGGCTGTTCGGAGTGGACCTTTTAGATAAACAAAACTTTTGGCGCTAGGGTTTTGAATTTGGAAGCCTATGGCCCTATAAAGCATACTACAAGTTATTGAGCTTATAATGCAGTTGGGATACTCTAAGGACATAATATACTGGATACTGGACGTTCAATAACTGTTAACTTAACTCAATCGGATCATTATTATAGTCAGAATGAAACATTCCATTTGCAGTGGCTACGCTACCCCACCCCTTCCTCTCTCTCCCTCTCACACACACTCTTCCTCGTGCAGTGTGCTCGCTGTGGCGGAGGGGAGCGTGAGTGAGAGACCAAAGATACAAAAAAGTTGCGTAAAACAGATAAAATATTTTAAAATTCTACTAAAATAGGTCATTAGACGGAAAGGGGATAACCGAAGTGCTAGTGCTCTCCTTCTCCCTCTCTGTTGCTCCCATCTATCATGACAAGTGTCAACGTTCTCGCCCATTATGTTAGTGTGGATGAGACTTTGTTCTTTACTTGGGACTACACTGCTTCTTCTTGTCACTTTTGACACCCTTTGGTCGCAGAGTATTTTATCGATTCCAGACCCTTGACTTTCCTAGTGCACTATGACCGGGAAGATACTCGAACTGTTTTTACTCAAAGAACACACTCAAATTTTTTCTGATAGATTTGAGGATTTACAATTTTGTTCATTATTTGTGGTTTTTTTTCTATGGCAAGGTTGTATATATTTTTTAGAGGAAGAGCTTCTTTTTTAAAACTGACAAGATGATAAATGCAGCTATAAATAGGTTCTGAACACTTTGTAGCTTCAGCTTACCGTCTGGGCAGTATTCAGATTTTAATTGAAAAGTTGATAATCTAATTTGTGGTATTTTTTTCTCAACATTTTCTTGTGAGTTTGATTTTTTTTTTCTATATTTTTATTTATGAAGCGTTGTTTAGGATAGCGTTTTTAAAAATATCATAAAAATACCTGTTTAAATCGCATTGGACCATTAAATTGGGCCAACTGCCAAAATTGGATCAAAGCAAACGAAAAGGTCTTGTAATTTTTGTATTATTCATAATTAGTAATAATAATTATTTGTGTCTGAATAGCTGATTTTGGGTGGTCTGCATTTCAATTCTGATTCTGATTCTGTAACTTCTGAGTAGGGGTATAGAGGTCAGGCTTATAATGTTTCGACACAAAGAATACCACCCACAAAAAATGTATAGTCTACTAAACACGATTTTGAGTGTGTTGTAGATTTTAGACTTAATAATATGTAGGTACACTGAAAACAATTGGACAGCCACAACAAAACATACAGAATAACACACAATATTTATTTTGCCTGCTCGTACAAATATATTCTCTATAAAATTTGATTTTATTTTAAAGTAGCAGCCACAATAGTAGGCCAAAGTTCTTTCGGCTATATTCCGATGAGCCCAGAGTCCCTTCAGTCAGCTGACTTTAATTGCACCGATTCTGAGCCACAAACTTAAAAACTATTTTCACTAGAGTCGTATCGTATGTTTCTCTATAAAATAAACTAAATGTTTTAGTGTAAAATATAGGAGAAGTTCGACCTATGGCAAAATGTAGGTCTTTCTGACCATAGTGCAGTGTAAAAGTGGGCTCAGGCCACACAGTTTTGTTGGTGTATCTTTTGTTAAGTATATCTATACATTTCTTCACATATATTTTGCGGTCGTAGTCCGGCGAACAATCATGCCTACTAATTACCATTACAAACTAACATGTGTTTCCCTTCTTTTGCCCTCTCGGGGTCTCTTTCTCTCGTATAGAGTCCCAAATATCAGCCACCAATTGAGTTTGTGGACGACGCTGCCCTGAGCCCGCCCGACGGCTACAAGGACAGCAGTCTGAAGAACACGCTCGGCGGCGCGCTGAGTGGCCACATCTTCGGGGCCCAGCACCTGCAACAGCTGCAGGTGATCCAGCGCCTCCAGCAGCAGCGCGCCGCGATGCTGGCCGCCCGCAACAGCACCAGTCAGATACCGCCGCCACCGCCTCCTGTGGGCAGTGCCCAGCAGCAGCAGCAGCAGCAACAGCAGCCGCAGCAGCAACCGCAGCAGCAGCAGCAGCAGCCACAGCAGCAGAAACCGCAGTCGGAGGAGGACCTGCAGGGCGTCTGCACGGAGTGTGCCGAGTGCGCAGAATGCGCCGCCAAACAGCTACAGGAAGCAGGTAAGCAGCCGGGGAGGGAGATTAGAGGCGCCTCATTCACGTGGGCCACGGCAGGTCTGACTGCAGCTGGCAGGTCCAGGCAGCCAGCCTCTCTGCAATTAGGGGCATCCCGTAGGGGCCCTCTTTTCATTCAGAGTCTTGCAAACGCAATCGTTTGCCTTTGTGTAATCTGATTATGAATTCTTTATGCAAACACAGACAGCAGCCCGTTGACAATTTGCCACAGCTCCATCGCGGAGCTCCGTCGTCAAATGGGACGCCATTTTTATTTTTGTTTCGTTGGTTCGCTACCCTCTCCCCCGGCACTGGCACTGGCTCCGGCACTGGCACTGGTTAATTTTATTATACCCGGTACTCGAAGAGTTGAGGGATACATAGTCATCGTATATTAGTTTTGTGGAAGGAAGCCGAAGGAAGCCTTTCCGACAACATAAAGTATATATCCATGTCTGTCTGCGCCTCCGTCCCGATGAGCGCCTAGATCTCGGGGACCATTAGAGCTAGAGCAACCAAATTTTGTATCCAGACTCCTGCCATATCACACTGTTGCAAGAATCTTTCAAAATTTCGTCCCGACTCCCGAAAAATGGAAATAGATCCATTATTCTACAATTCTGATCAACTAGGTCTTTGGGTGGAAAGATGACTTACGGAGTGCAAGATTTAATATTAAAACATAACTACAGGACGTGGTTCTTATCTTTCCCATCTGCCACGATAACTTTGAGACGAATTGAGAGATAAGTAGAGCCGCGGCCCTTGCCGTATCCGGGGTATCCGGGTATCCGAGTCGCTCTTTTGGGTATCGCTGTTCGCAAAGGGAACAGACTGATTTGTTGGTTAATGCAGACCACGTATATCTATCAATTTGTTTGCCCTTGTCCTGAGAGAAGACACAACAGTGATGGAGGAAACACATCGAGAGAGCGAGCGCTAGTTATGCTCTAATGTTCTATTTCCTGCACCCTGTACATTTCCTTTCCACGCTATGACCAATATTATAGACATTGCCGCACCGTCTGTTGAAAATCACTCTATATCCATCACCTGTCCATCCATCATCTGGCCCTTAGATCTGGACGAGGAAGTGCGAGAGGAAGTAAGGCGAAAACGGGGCAGGGGCATTGTTTTCTTTTGGATTTGATTCCAATTCTTCAATCTATGGTCACGGCCTATGGGCCGTTGATAAGATGGAAATAAGCTGGTTTCACATGAGTCCTGTAGGCGTTAGACAGACAGTCATATATACTTTATGGGGTCGAAAACGACTCCTGGTGGCTCCTTACATATCAATATCTGTATCTAAACGAAGCAACAAGAATTTCTTTCAGGTATAAAAACTCCTGAAGAGTAGGCCACAGAAACTGGTACCAGGGATTGGGGTTGAGAATGCGTAACGAGGTTCATCAGAGGTTCAGAGCATTCAAAACTGTTATATACTGCTGCCAAATTCAGAGTATTCAAAACTGTTATACTTCTGCCTTAAATGTTTGGGGAAGCAAGCTTCTTTCTGGAATACCCCCCAAATAATGACGAGTATTAATCGCTAGGAATCGCAAAAATCATCGAGCGTCAAAGGAAGATTAGGATGGAATTTATGACCAAAAAAATACATATATTGGTGATTTTCCAGCCTTTCCTTACAGGCAAATGCTTGGCATTGGCAATCGTTGGCGACTGTCGTCAATTGCCACCGTTAGTGCGGTTCTAAGTATATGATTCAGTGGGCCGCTATGAGCACATGGCTCTGAATTGTTGCTCTCTCCCGATTCGGGCCATAAGTGCTTCCATGCCATGCCCGCATGCCCCCAGATGGATTGTCGTCGCCGCCGTTTCAAACGAAAGCATTAATCGAGTCTATTGATTGATTTACGGCTTCGGTACGGTATCATGTCTGGGCTTAACCCCTAAAAGATACTTTTTAAGGGAGAACGGGGCTCGAAAGGAGTGCAGGCACGCATACATTTGCATTTATGTCGGAGGTCACGCTTTATTGACTGTCAACCTGAAAATGAATGGCACGGAACGGTTCGCAGGGGAGGGGGAGGGAAGAAAGCGGGCCAGTCAGGCAGTCCGTGGACTGTGCTAGTCATTAATTGTTGCGCCTAACGGAGCGCGAATGCAACAAGCCCATAGCTCTGGCTTTGTGGAGGCTTGCCTGCCCATGGCTATGCCCGTACCGATCCTCCAAGCGCACTTCCGCTTCTCCCACTTGGGAGCAGCCACCAAGCAGCGGAAATACACCAATCTTGGCTTCCGATCCATCATTTGATCATCATTTTTGTGTGATATACGTATGACCCTCTTCCTCTTTACAGAATGCAGCTCGCCGCAGTGCCCAGAGGAGATGACACCACTCGGAGTGCCGGCGGTGGCCCTCCTGCCTCTGCACACCAGTTCACCGGAGCGTCGCATTACCCAGAAGGAGATCATCGCCGGCGAGGAGCGGCCCAAGTACGTGCTGCAGTCCCAGTACAAGGCATCGCCCACTGCAGGTACAGTAGCACTCCCAGCCCTCCAAGCATTCATCGCACTCATGGAGCTCTCCCCCGATCAGTCTCGAGCCTTCCCTGCTCATTAGCTTTATCACGCACACGCACGCGCATACATGCACAGCAAACAGCCGCAACCATCTGCCCCCGGGCCAAATTGCACCCGTTACAGGCGACCCCGGGCGATGATTGGTGGTCCAGTCCGGCCTCGGGGCTCCTGACATTGAACAAACCCCATCCAATCAAGGCCGCACTCATTGTCCTTATCGAAATTTCGCATCTCAGCATTGGGCATCGAGCATTGGGCATTGATTTTTTCTTAAAACCAAGTGCTAGGCAACTGTTTCTTCTGCCATCACTGGAGCCTATGAGGAACTGCAGTATTTTCTGTTTCAAAGATATTGTTCAGATTATGTTCTATGATATATGGACAGTTTTTCTCTTCACCATATACCCTTGAGCGTTTTTAAAGACAATCTTGCTGTTAAGATTTGTTAATAATCTCATTTAAATCTTAAAAATTAAGGAAGGATACATTTAATTTCGAAAAAATTAAGATCTTTATATTCCTATGACATCCAAATTGCTATGGATATACTTACATGTGTGTGTCTATCTCTTAAGGAGGAGATTTGTGACTGTCTTAAGCGAATCAGGAGACTGTTAGGCCGTGGTTATAATTTGTATAGAATCATTAAGACATATAGCCATCAAGCAATCAATATGATACGTCAATCCGTGATATATTATAAGCAATTATCATTATCTATAGCTGTTTTCCGACCATTTCCAGCCACATGCCACATTGTGCGCTTGTGTACTCGTATTTGGGTAGCTATTCCGTTGAAAACTGTGGAGCAGACAGGACCTTTCAACCCTTCAAAGGCTGTTTGAGCAGCTCCGATAGAATCCAGTTTGATTTATGCTCTTCAACTGTTCAACTTGTTACAAATTCTTAGCAATCAACAATGGTCAAAGGCTTCGATTCACTCGTTTCGGCCCAATTATTCGAGTTCCATTGTACATCGTCATCGGGTTTCGTATGCATCCACATTTGTCTGTACATAGCATCAATCAAGTACATGCAGTACATACGATCGCATTGCTGACATCGATCCAATATCCCCCATCTCTCTCTTTCTCTCAATGCGAATACAATGCTCTCTTTTGCCCCCACGAATGCCGCCTCGTCGCCTGTTTGTTGTTCTGTGCGTGCCCGTGTGTGTCCCTTGAGCAGTCAAAGCTAAGAAGGATTCGGGCGTGGCCAAGGCCAGCTCTGCCACTGCCACTGGCCCCGGCTATGGCCCAGCACCGGTGCCGCCGGGAGTCAGTGGCTCGACCAAGAATAAACGATTTTTTGTTGAAACTATTACCACTATGACCACAGTGACCGAGCGGCGCATCATCCGGGAGGCACACGAGGATGTGGCCAGTGTGGCTTCCTCTCCCGTTCCCGCTGCCATTGCCCCGGGCGCGGATATGCAGCCACCCGCTCTGCCAGCCAAGACGAATGCCACAGTGGCAGCCGCCGCCGCCGCCGCTGCCGCCACCGCTGCTGCCGCAGCTACCACACCAGAGAAGCAACCATTCGATGAGCAGATGCCACCGCCCATACCGCCAAAGGAGACGTCGCCCACCCAGATAAGCGGCATACTGAAGGGCGGCAAGCTCTGGAAGCAGGACTCCATCTCCCAGGTGAGTAAATGCCCATTTGCCCCGCCACCACGCAATCCAATCTATTAACCACGGCGATTTGGGTCAAGCAGCAGTCGGATGACCAGAACAACACCTCGGAGGAGGAGAGCGGCGCCATTAAGCGCTCGGTGCGCTTCGTGACGGAGGACCAGGCGAATGCCGGCGGCGACAGCGACGCCCAGTCGCTGGCCGGGGAGCTGGACGACAGCGAAAACCAGATCAACGAGCTCATCCCCATCAAGAAGCACTCGACCCTTTTCAACAACGCCCTGCGCCCCAACTCGGCGGTGCGCCAGCTCTTCCCCAGCGTCTCCGCCCACCAGGCCCCCGTCCTCACCTCGGAAGCCCTGCGAGCCTTCGACGAGTCGAAGCGGGCCGGCTGCCTCGTGACCCACTTGCCCGGGAGCTGCGGCGACTCGGACACCCTGCGCCGCAGCATGGAGCGCAACATCCTTCGCCGCTCATTGATCAAGTGACTACCCCACTCCCCTTGCCCCAGGCCGAAACAGAGCTAACCGTCTTTCGTCTCACTCGCAGAAAAAAGGCCGTCAAGTCGGACATATCGCTGGAGGACCGCATCAAGCAGCTGACCTGCGACATCGACGAGGACCTGGCCGAGGAGCTGTCCCGGGACGTCGACGAGGACCCCGACCCCAGCGAGCGGGGCTCCGACGAACTGGCCCAGCGCGACAGTCCCGCCGGCGAGGAGAACCCCAATCCTGCGCCCAGCTCCGCCGCTGGCCAGAAGTTCATGAACGGCGAGAAGAGTTTCTCGCCCAGCAGCTCGGTTTCCAGCTCCTCGAGCGGGTCGTCGGCCTACAAGAAGATCGCGGACATATTCAATCGCGACAAGAAGCAAGAGAAGATCATGGAGCTGGAGGAGAACCCCATTGTCATCATACCACAGGTGGGTGGAGTACTCTCCTCTGTCCCAGCAGACCCCTAAACAGAGCCTTTGCATTTCCCTTTCGCAGGAGTGCCGCTGTCCGGCTGCACCCGACTTGGGCATGGGCATCCAAGTGCCCGTGGTCCATACCCAGATCCACCGTACCCCACCCCGCCAGACCGAGCCGAAGCGCCAGTTCCTCTCCTCCACCCTAGCTCCGCTCACCGCCTGCGTGGCTGGCAACAAGGACGACCTCTCCTCGTACTACACCCTTGCCGCCGGCGCCCACGCCCACGGCCACAGCCACGCCCATGCCGCCCACTACGCAGTCGCTGCAGCCGAATTCAACATGGGCCAGCTCCTGGGCGCGGCCACAGCTGCAGCCGTCTCCGGGGACCCGGTGGGGCAGCACGCCGCGGCCATGGCCGCTCAAAGCCTGGGCAGCATGGCTGCCGGGGCGGGATTGGGTGGTGCTGTGGCCAGCGCCGTTTCGGAGGAGGTGCGCAAGGTGGCGCCGGATGTCATTGCCGGCACACCCGGCCAGGAGGCCGCCAGTCGCCCCGAACAGGACGAACTGGCCGTCTTCGCCCAAGCGGAAGCCAAGCGAACCGAACAGCTCAAGAAGCGGTACACGGGAGGGGCGGACCAGTCGCAGGCCAGCAGCGACGATGATGAGCAGAACGACTACGGCTTCAACAAGCGGCCCTCGGTGCGCGGCATCAAGCCGAAGTTCAGCTCCACCAACGAGATCCTGGCCCAGATGCAGGAGCAGCTCAGCGCCTCCATCCCCACAGTGGTGAACAGCCAGCCGGTGCCGCAGGCGGTAAAGGGCTACGCTATGCCCAACACTGCCAAGCAGAATCCCTCGGCACAGCAACAGCAGCATCAACAGCAGCAGCAGCAGCAGCAACAGCAGCAGCAGCAGCAGCAACAACAGCAGCAGCAACAGCAACAGCAGCAGCAACAGGCACAGCAGCAGCATCAGCATCAGCAGCTGCAACAGCAGATGGCGGCAGCGATGCAGGCGAACACGATTGCCCAGCAGAAGACGGAACAGCGCACGTGGAGCTTCTACAGCGAGACCGGGGAGCAGCAGCGCTTCCCCATCGACGCGGCCGCCATTCACCAGACCTACTACCAGACCCTGCCCGCCGGCACCATGTTCCGCCAGACGATGATCCAGCAGGGGGCGGCCGGCGACGATGCCTCGCTTCTGTATGCCGCGGCAGCCGCCCAGAATTGCCAGAGCGTCACGGCCACTGCCACGGCGACGGCCACGGCCATCGAGCAGAGCAAGCACAGTAGCTACAGCAGCCACTTCGCACGCAGCCCCACTCGGCGGCCGGAGTCGCCGCCGCCGCTACGGAACTACCACCAAACCATGGTGCTGATACCGTACAATGCCGAGACGTACTCCCAGTTTGCCACCAGCAGCAGCGTGGACCCCAAGCTAGCCCACATTCAGCGCCAGAATATCCTGGAGTACCAGCAGGTGAGGGTACTCGCCTAAGCACACTTCTGTCCTAGACTCCCCTTAATCCTCCCCGTCCGCTCTGTTCCCAGGTCACTCAGCAAACGATACGGGTGCCCATCGGGTATGCCCTGCCAGGCATGCAGCTGCATGTGGTCAGTGGTCGCGGCCACGCCGCCCACTACGGCCAGCATCAGCAGCAGCAGCACCATCAGCATCAGCAACAGCAGCAGCAGCAGCAACAGCAGCAACACCAGCAGCAGCAGCAACAACAGCAGCAGCAACAGCAGCAGCAGCAGCGACTGATGCCGCAACATTATCAGTTCGGGACGGAGGGAGGCATTCCGGGCTTCAGCGAGCGTGGAGTACCGGAGGGAGCAGCCACTGTCTCGCACAGCGACTGCAATTCCATGGTCTCCCCAACAGCAGCATCGGCGGCACAGCAGCAACAACAACAGCAACAGCAGCAACAACAGCATCAGCAGCAACACCAGCAACAGCAGCAGCACCAGCAGCAACAGCAGGCTGGAATCGGAGTTGGGGCTCAGGCCCAGCCACATGCCCAGGGATCAGTGTACTACGCGATGAACGTATGACCCGCGCTTGAATAGTCGCTGCCAGCGGCGGTCATCGTCGAGCGCCGCCAGTGTCAACGCGTCGAGCTGTCAGCGACTTCAGTGCATTTGGGTCGCGGCGGAGTGAACGGCGGCGGCGGCGGCGGCAGATGAGCGCCCATCTGCCCCCCGCCCTCCACCGTCAGCGCGTCCCAGGGAATCCCATCCGCCTGATTTGAGTTGCACTTGAGTTGATCCTAGCGAGCGTCTTAGTCATTTATTCCTCTGTTGTTCATCCTAAATCGTGCTCTGTAACCCGTTTCTACCGTTTCTGAATGTATGCATGCGTGACAGTGTCTGTGTTTGTGTCTGTGTGTGTGCGTGTGTGCGCGTGTGTGAGTCCATGTCCTTGCCCCTTAGCCCGTGAGCAACGTACATACATACAGGCTACCGCTTGGTTTGCATAGGACGATAGGCCGTGTAAGATACTGATGATTCGTTGCCAAGACTAAGAAAAACTAACGATAACCTGTTTTATGAATACTCGTATTGTAATCAGATATATATTATACACTATATGTTACACTATATTCCAAAAATGAACTTTTAGTTTTTGTTCTAGTTTCTAGAGATATTCTAGACACATACTAATATAGTACTTACTGCTGTAGATGAGAAAAGGCGGCGAAAATGTAAACCAAAATACAACCAAATGACATGAATTTATTTCAAGCATGTACGTGCTGGGTGCTAGCAATGCAACAACAACCACAAGAACAACAAAAACAAAGACAAAGAAACATGATTTATTATTAACGATAAGATATTCAAGTTACATTTAGCAAAAGTAAAACTTAAAGGAATTACACACATATATATACATATATATATATATATATATATATTTTTTTTTTTTTTTTAACTCCCATCTTTGTTTATTTTCTGTTAGCCAAGAAAACACAGTTTTGCTCAAGGGAAAGTGAATTTGGTTTAATGCCAGTCGAACCGTAATTAATTTTATGTACATATGTAGTATATATGTACAGACGTACATATGTACATCTGAACATTAACTAGGTTATATTACATGATATTCAATGTAGTGCAATATTTTGATAAAAAATCATACTCTCATAGATATTTGCATTCCCATGCATCATTATTATTCATACGATATTTTAGATCTCTCTTTTTTTTTATTATGATATTAAAATAAAATTATATGTGCCCTATACATATATGTGCATATGTATGCATATATACAGTGTATATACGTGTATATACAGTATGCATATGTACTCATTGATTTGCTTCAATTTGTTTGCGTTTAATTTGTATATCCATCGAAACCATTACCATTACTATCCCCATCAGAACCCCTCGTCACACCATTCCCACCCATCGCCTCTCTTTCGCTGAGACTAACAGTGCCAAACTAACTTGCCAGCATTCTAGATTGGGCCCAGAAGCCTTCATCCTCATAGATATACATATACATATACATACTTGATAGCCACGTGCGCATTATTCATAAGCAAAAGTTAGAAGCCACTCGGAAAAAAGAGCAAACTGTATACATACATACATACATACGTACATATAGATACACGTACTTATCCATATGTATACAAATACAAATATTGAAGATATTATATTTCGATTCATATAGTATATTGGACAGAACATACTGAAATTATTGAAAGCAAACACGAAATTCGAGTGGAGTGCAATAAATTGATGGGAGTTAGAGCTACCGACTAGTTATGTACTTAGCCGGAAACGGACTGTAACTGTAACTGTAATGTAACCCGAACAAAGACAACGCCAAGAAGTGAGAGCGCTAGAACGAGATAGATAGATTGTGGGCCAACAGGATTGGGGCTAGGAACGCGGACGAATATGAGGGGCGCATAACGAACAAATGTAGTCTTATAGTATACATATGTACGTACGTACGTACATGTAAGTCTATACACACACATAAACAATAAGGGACGAATAGTATCTAACGTTAACTAAAGTGCAGTTTGGGCAGTTCGATTTTTGTTACTTGTTTATCCCCGTGGAGATTCCAACACTACAATTGACTAGAAAGAGCAGCGCGATTTGCACAGACATATGTACATATGTACATGTTTTAATATGCTATCAATAGATATACTCGTGCATACATACGTAAATCAATATGCAAGTATATGCACACGGACAAGCATGGATATGGATATGGATATGGATATGGATATGGATATTTACTAGATGTTTATGAAATACCCAAATGGCATAAAATGAATTCTATCCCCAATCCAATCGAATCCAAATCGCATGAAATTTTAGATCCATCCCCCCTTTTGTTGCAATGTACGGCAAATACCCGAGTCTACCTTCAATTTTTTTTTACAAAAATGCAGTGGAAATACATGCATATATAAACGAAAAGAAAACCCCCGATATACACACGATTTCGAGTACTACGAGATACACATTACACACACACTGGCCTTTCATTGATTGATTCATAGATTGACAGAGCTACGAAAATTATTTTCAGCATGCAAAAGTAACGAAGGTCTAAGAGGAAAAATTGTTCTAGTTAAGGTATAAGGGGTATATAAAAAATGTATAATGAATATATGTATGTTACATGTGCATGGAAATGAGGAAAACGCGCGGGAAACGAGAACTAAGTTGATTTGAACGATCTATCCCAAGTGAAAATCGATGCGAGTGGTACGAGTACGAGTATATAACAAATTTCAACAAATAAATGACTGAGTCAATGACTCTAAATAAATTTTAAACGCAAACGAAAACCCTAAATATATGAAAATACAGAAATGGTAAACAAATTAGTGTTTCACTTTATTTTAGTATTTACTAGTAAATATCTACAGTGAAAGGATTCGATCTGGATATCATACTGAACAAGTCAACAGGAAATCTTCTATACATAAACTTAGGGAAGCATCTCCTACCAATAAGTACCACCTATTCAGACTATCAGCCAACAGCAATTACCACCAAGGCGATCAACTTCAGTCTTTGTTCGTGCATTCCATAGACTGGAAAGAAGCACAAATCCCTCTATGGAGTAGGTCCAATTACTTTTTTTGGGGCGTAGCCAGCTGCCACTAAACTAAAACCCTCCCAACGGGTCAAAAGATAGAATGGATACCCGAATGAAGGCAGAAACTGCCGCTACAATGGCTATGGATGAGCAGCCAGTAATTGGCGAGGAAATATTGAGGCTTTGACGTTACGCTAGGCTGATTTTGGTCAAAGCTACTAGCGTTATGTCCTTATGTGATGTAGAAATTACCAAGCAGCCGAGTTTTGCTTCCCATTTCACAAATGATGATTGGGTTTCATTGTAGTATATGTTGAGAAAAGGAAGAAACTAAGCAGAACAGCCAAGTACCCAGATCAACAAAACATTCTAAGAGTCGCAAATATCAAGATTGGGTCTAAAAAGGTGTTATAGATTTGTATGGCATTTATCTGCAATATTAAATTACTCAGTACTTAATACTTAGTAATTAATTACTACGCCGACAGACCCTAACCAATGCTCTTCATTATTGGGGACCAGTCTTGTGGTGGCTGACGATATGGCTACCCATCTAACGGGTAGTGAAATGGGTAGCTATCTGGTAGTTAAAGAAATGGGTACCCATCTGGTAGGTTTTTATGTAGTTGCTATTATTTATATAAACTTTTTTTTATTATAAATCATCGTATACATCGTATCGTAACTCACAAGGAGTTAAGGAGCTTTGTGGAGAAAGTGGATGTGTGTAACGTCTAGGAGGAAGCGTTTCCGACCCTATACAGTATATTTATTCTTGATCAGCATCTATAGCCGAGTCGATTGGGCCCTGTCTGTCTGTCCGTCCATCCCAACGAGCGCCTAGATCTAGTCTCTGAGAGCTAGAGCAACCAATTTTTGTGTCCTGACTCTGTGATATCTCACTTTTACAAGTGTATTTCCATATTTTGCGCGACCCTTTGATATCTAGCAGGCCATATCTAGCAGCATATCTAGCATATCTGACCTATCTGGATCGGATCGAATCATTATTAAATTGCAGTGGCTACGCAATGACTTATTCCCTCTCTTTTACACACTCTTGCATTGTGTGCCCTCTGGTGGAGGTAAGCCATACTGATTAAGTATCGGGTATAAATGTAGAGTGGCTCAGAAAATTCCCGCTCGTTAAATTTCTCCACGCCTTTTCTCAAATGACGAACATCTGTTGCATCTACAATTCGGGAGATACGAGAAAACAAATTATCATACCTATGTACATATCTACTTGACTGCAGAATTTGGTTCACATCGGATCATTCCCCACACACTTAGTCGATCAGTATGCGCCACCTGGCGGAGTGAGCAAGATGTAACGCCGGAAAGTAATTCATTTGTGGAAGTAGTGGTATGGAAATAGCTAGAATATTCGCAATTAGGTAGAATGAAGATAATAGAGCTCGCGATTCCAAAAAGAGAGAGAGAGCATCCGGCACTCCAATAGCAATTCCGGCGTTTACGTATATTTACAAATAAAATATATTATATATATTTTTTGTCTTCTTTTTAATAATAAATCAATAGATCGGCACAAGAACTAAAGAAACAAGCTACGCGCATCAAAATATTTGTGTGAACCAAAGTGAGGGCCGCACTTTCACCTCCAGCGCCTGATAACCAACTCTATTGCTGGACGGGCACTCTTGGCTTTGCGTTCATCTGCCATTCGGCTGAGCAACAGATCGGCGACTGTGCAATCAAATGGAACTGGGCGATAGCTGCGGCTGCTCTTTGGTGTTATCGCCTCGCCTGGGTCTGGGTCTGGGTCTCTGCTGGGTTTAGTCTGTCGCCGTACGCCAGCCGACTTGCTACAAACTGCGGTACCACAATGAGCTGTCCCTATGCAGGAAACGGGTAAACTGCGCCGCGGGGCGAGACCACGTGCAGACTTTTTACTGAGTGAAGGGGTTTCCTTGCAGAAACGACCACGACGATGCTGCGGTACCGCTGTCCACGGAGGTGGGCAAGATCTACGGGGAGTACCTGATGCTCGACAAGCTGCTGGATGCCCAGTGCATGCTCTCCACGGAAGACAAGCGACCGGTCCACGACGAGCATTTGTTTATCATCACTCACCAGGGTGAGTCCCTGATCCAATCCAATCCGGTGGCCCACCACCCTCACAAATCTCTCTTTCGTTCTGTTGGCCAGCATACGAACTGTGGTTCAAGCAGATAATCTTCGAGTTCGACTCCATTCGCGACATGCTCGACGCGGAGGTCATCGACGAGACCAAAACTCTGGAGATCGTCAAGCGACTCAATAGGGTTGTCCTCATACTGAAAGTAAGACACTGGCGCAGGGGCCACAAATGATACCCAAGTTTTTCATTCGGCCTCCTGCCAGCCATATGTAAAAGATATTTTAATTGATACTTGGGACGCTCTGGATGATGAATCCTTTCATTTATTTCCGGTTTGCACAATGATAATCAAAGCTTATTCCATGTACCATGAAGGCCTTTGAACAATCTTCCAGATGATCGATCCCCTCTCACTTTCCAATCATTCGATTGTAGTATGTGAATATTCAGTCTGCTCAGCTGTTTAGGCCAACAAATGATCTTAAAAGTGATTGCCTACAGGCTGCTCTACAGGCTGAACGAATGAGCCAATTCAATAGCCTCTATAGAGAGGTTATAGGTTATAGAGTCACGTGTTTAAAAAAAAAACCAAACAATAAGATCAACGCGTTGTAAACCATTAATAATCTCTTTTGTTTTATTACAAAGCTGCTAGTGGACCAGGTGCCCATATTGGAGACCATGACGCCACTGGACTTTATGGACTTTCGAAAGTATCTAGCTCCGGCGTCGGGCTTTCAGTCACTCCAGTTCCGCCTGATCGAGAACAAGCTGGGCGTTCTTACCGAGCAGCGTGTGAGATACAACCAGAAGTACTCAGACGTCTTTGGAGGCGACGAGCAGGCTCTGAGCGCCATCAGGAGCTCCGAATATGAGCCCTCGCTACTCGAGCTGGTGCAGCGATGGCTGGAGCGGACGCCCGGTCTGGAAGAGAGCGGTTTCAACTTCTGGAAGAAGTTCCAGCAGAGCGTCGACCAGTTCCTGGCCGCCCAGGTAGAGATCGCCATGGAGGAGCCGGTGGAGCAGGCCAAAAACTATCGCCTGATGGACATTGAGAAGCGGCGCGAGGTCTACCACTCCATCTTCGACCCGGCCGTGCACGAGGCCCTCGTGAAGCGCGGAGATCGCCGCTTCAGCCACCGTGCTCTCCAGGGGGCCATCATGATAACCTTCTACCGCGACGAGCCGCGTTTCAGCCAGCCCCACCAGCTACTCACCCTGCTTATGGACATCGACTCATTGATCACCAAGTGGCGCTGTAGGTCCCCCTTTGCGTCGATACCGATTGCTCTTATTTAGCTGCTTTCCCCACTTTTTGCAGACAATCACGTGATCATGGTTCAACGCATGATTGGATCCCAGCAACTGGGCACCGGCGGCTCATCCGGGTATCAATATCTTCGCTCCACGCTCAGGTAATGGTCTGATCGGCGCAACGCTCATTGAACTCCATCACCATGTTCTTTTTGTGTGCTTCCAGTGATCGGTACAAAGTATTCCTGGATCTGTTCAACCTGTCTACGTTTCTGATACCTCGCGAGGCGATTCCTCCTCTCGATGAGACTATACGCAAGAAGCTCGTCCACAAGAGTGTCTAACGGTTGACCAATCCTATACAGACCCAAGAAAAATAAAGCTTTAAGTGCAGTTTTTTGTACATCCTCGTACTTTGTTTGACCTTGCTCTTACCCTTACCTATTCCTCGTCTGACTTAGATCAATTTTGTTGTACAAAAACATGGGTCTTGACTGCCTGAAAGTATGCTATCCCTATCGCGATCAACGATCAGTTGGAGAGTGTGCTTGAAATGGCATGTACAAAATACAAAGGAACATTTAGTTCTGCAAAGGGAGCACGACCTTTAAGCCTCAAATGGAAAATACATATAGGTGCATCTTCACCTGAATGAAGCTAATCGTAAGATGATGTTTCCGAGCTATGGACAAGCATCATTTTTCCCCCTACTTATTCGAAAGATCGCTTTAAAACTATGAATTTCTGGCTTAGAGAGATTGAAGAGTTTTAAGACACACAGAGAGTATAATGTACTCTCCTCTCCGATTAGATGCTCATCGGAGAACAACTTTCATACATGAAAAACACCCGAATACACTCACCGCTCATCTAGATTCAGAGGCAATAAAAACATAACCTTTGCCAGTGACCTTTCTGTAGCTGATAAGCAGGCCGCTTTTTGTTCTATACCTGGTATTCAAAGATTATGGGGGGTATATTCGATTCGTGTAGGTGTGTGTAACGCCTAGAAGGAAACGTTTCCGACCGCAGAAAGCACATATATTCTTGATGAGCCTCAATAGCACAGTCGATGTAGCCATGTTGGTCGCGATGGACGAGTGAAAATCTGTGATTCACGGAAAGAGAAGTCCTTCATGCCTTTCCCATAATTTGACTCGTTTCTTAGGAAACCTCTCAAGACACACCTAGTTTTAACAATTTCCTAACATATTTTTTATTATTGATAAACCTACTTGCTTCAATGCTTTTGTTTTCGATTCTCATCCTTTGAAAACGACTTACCACAACCCACTTTTTTACTCCGTGAGTGTCGTATTCAAGTGTCAGTAATGAATACTGCTACAAATTTTTCTAAAATCTATTCTAAACCGAATAAAGATTAGAAAAAAAGGTCCCATTTCATCGTTTTCTTTGGATTGTGCTGTAAGTATTTTTATGTGTGACGTATTCAAGGGTCGGGTAGTGTATGCTCCAAGCATAAATCTGTGTATAGACCAGAGATCGGCAAGCCCCTATTCCCTATGCCGTGCCGATCACTGAGTCACTTAGTAGAGTCGCGGCACGTGTGCTGCGATTCACAGCGTTGCGACTGGTTCAGACTCGAGTTTGAGTTTGAGTTTCAGTTTCATTATTATTTATTAGAGAGGAGAGCGCTTTGCTGGACGAGTGCAATTAATTGCTGCTGTGTTTGTGTAAGGAGTGGATTCGGGTCGTCTTGCGATAAGGGTAAACAAGCAGTAAATAAAGAAAAAATCAAAGTTCCTAGTCATTATGTAAGCAATATTTAATTGGAACGCCTTTGTGCGCCGCATTTGTGCAAATCAAATTCAATTTCCACTACCCTCCTTACCTTTCGGTGATGGTTAATTTCGGACTATTTATGGCTGTTTCTGCTCGGCAATTAAAGAGGAGGCAGCCCTCCTGTTAATTACATCATTCCCACATACTCCCACCACAGATCAGCCCCACAGTCCGTGGCGAGCTCAACTGCACTCATGGGGAGCCCGGCGGCACAGCACTCTGAATGACCTACTCGTACTCGTTAGACCCGTACTCGTAAGACCCGTACTCGTACTTGTACCATGAAATGGTATTGGAATTTCCGTTTCGAGTTCGTTTCTTAACCCTCTATATCCCATTTGGGCAGAGGATTGTAACTCACAGAAGGAACAAACGTTACGTATGTTCATGGATAAAACATACCTTCGGCGGGCTAAGAGCTGCCATCAAGCTGGATGGCACTAGCTCTGACTATCACCGTAATCCGGCAACCGATATGCCCTTCCGAATAGGTGGAGCGCAGCCCGCTAAATTCTACCGGCGATCGCGACGGCGTCAGCTCATTAATAAAACCAGCAACAATGGCGACGACGACGACGACAACGACAACGTTCGTAAAGATGAATCCAATGCCGATGCCGATGCCGATGCCGTGCTCGAGTTGTTGCCTCAGTTGCGCACTGAATCTCTGAGTGGTCGGTCGCGCTGTCTCTCGTCCCAGCAGCAGTCAAGCCCAAGCCCAAACCCAATCCCAGTCCCAGCGAAAGTGTTCCAAGGCAAAGTGTTAATATACGGAGTGCGAAATGCGTTACCTGGCATTGAGTGCGCTCTTTGTGTGCCTGGCCCTCGCCGGGCACTGCCAAATCGCAGGTAAGTGGATAGGGTCAGGCCAGACGGCCATTAGCAGAGGGAAATGCTTGATTGACGGGTACTGACTGGAATATTGCCATTATCAGCAGGCTACAAGAGCGAGATCGAGATCACGCCAGCCCCGCTGGACGTGGTTGAGGCTACAACAAAGAAGTCCAGCTGGTTCGGCGGCTTCAAGAAGTTCTTCGGCAGCAGCGGCGATCCGTCCGCTACGGAGGCCACCACCAGCACCACGTCAACGACTACCACCGCCAGGCCAAGCTCTGTGGCTGCCACTCCCGCGGCCGCCCAGAAGCCCCCGCCGCTGGTAATCTCTCATGCCCCGCTGATGCCCTTGGGCCCACGGCCTGATACCCCCAGCTCCTCCCCTTTCGGAGCTGCAAACGCTCCCCAGTGGCCCTCAGACGGAGTGGGTGTCGGTAGTCGCACCTCCAGCACTAAGCCGCCCCATCAACCACCCCAGGGACGTCCCCAGGAAGCAGGCGGGGTACCCAATTTGCCCCCTGGATTCGCCCCCTACCGCCCCCAGAAGCCGCAGCCGAACAGCTACGATTTGAGCTACGGCGGTGGTGGCGGTGCAGGCAGTGCAGGAGGTGCGGCCGGACGTCCGGGCCTGGATCCACTGGCAAGCTTCGGGGGAACAACCTCCACCCAGCGACCAAAGACGCCCAATGTCCAGCCCGGATCCGGAACATCGACAGCCAAGCCACAGCTGAAGGAGGATTTCCCGGCGCTGCCCGGTCCCCGCCGCCCATCCGTGAAAGAAGAATATCCGCCTCTGCCCGCGGTCCAGTCCCCTTCGGTACCTTCCTCTCCCAATGCTCTTCCCACTCCCACACCCACTCCGTCTCCGACTCCGACTCCTTCATCGCCCTCCGCCTGGGGACGGCCTCTGCCCACGCCCGTGCACCCACTGGACCCCGTGCATCCGGCCAAACCCTCGACCAATCCGACGCCCGCCAATGGAGTGTCCTTTGTGCCGCATACAGGGGGAACGGGAGGACAAAGCAGTGCAGGGGGAGCTGCCACGACCACAGTTCGGCCGGGCTTCCATTCGTCCGGCAACTCGGTGGCCAGCGACGATGAGATCCGCCAGCTGACAGAGCAGCTGTACACTAAAGAGAGCAACAGCCAGATCAGCCTGGTCCAGGTGAACCTGCAAGGGCGAACGCGCTCCATCGACAGTGCCGACGAGGCCCCCAATCCGTAAGTTCATCGGAGGCACAAAATATCGGATAACACTAATAGCATATGCCACTTGCAGACTCCTCCAGGTGGACGCCAAGGCCTTCGAGTCCCCGACCATTGCCAAGATGAAATTGCTCTTCAATAACTACGAGCACGACACACTGGTCAACGAGCACGTGACGGCCAACGAGCGGAAGGAGGAGAACGACTTCCTGGACGCAGTGATGGCCACATCGGTGATGCGGCATGCGATGCAGTTCCTGCAGCAGAAGGGCCTGGTTACGCCCGACCCCAAGACGCACCGCGACCTGGTCAAGGAGCTGTGGTTCACTCAGTACTCGCGCGGTCAGGGCAAGATCGGCAGCTCCGGCTTCGAGCACGTCTTCGTCTACGAGGTCAAGAACGGAACCATCATAGGCTTCCACAACTGGGTGTACATCAGCGAGGAGGAGCAGGCGGGTCGCCTCGACTACAAGGGTTACATGAAGGAGCAGGACATTGGCACGGTAAGAGGACCTAGGCTCTGTTTCAAATGATATCCACACATTTTCTTTTAGAAAGGAAAGGTGCTGAAGATCCGCTTCGCCCACCAAGGACAGAACAAGCCCGTGAACACCGTCTTCGTGGGCACCTCGCCGGAGCTGGAGCTGGCCCTGTACACGGTCTGTTTTCAACTGCGTCCCGACCGCACCTGCCCCGTCTCCCTGGGCAACAGCAAGTTCGGCATCGTCACCTACTCCTGGCGCTACCGAGGGAAGAACCTGATTGGCAGCGCATACCCCGAGATCTAAACAGTTGAACAGTCTATTCCTGTAGTCCTATATAAACTATTTTTTTTTGACGCTGTAATAAATAAAGAAAAGTGCACGAATATGACTTGTCTTTCGTAAAGCAGATATATACGATACCATGAGAGTCCGATTTTTTGCATACCCTACTAGAGCCTTGTATAACTCTCACTGTCACTGCAGGCTTTTTCCATCTCTTCAACTGAAATTTAACGCCATACAACGATTACCGTGATAAATGATAAGTACTACTGTTGTCAATGAAGAAGATTTTAATTATCAGAAATATATCTAACCTGATTTCCATGATCACCTCTTATTTTACTACCACAATCCGAGCGCCACTCAATACATTTTTAGCCATCTAAAATGTCGAATCAAGGGGTCATCTGTATTGCAGTGCGGCGAAATGGGTTTTATCTTTTTGGAGAACTTTTTTAAAACTAATAAGACCATTTTCAAAGATCGTTTTCTCATAGGTATAGGATATACGATAGCAGCCTACAAACCTGGCATTGTACCAAATCCATTTAAAACTCGTTCAACACATTTCTGTGGATCCAGATCAATTTTAATTAAATATTGTTTAATACTTGCGGCTATAGTTTCTGATTTCTGACTTCAAGACTTATAGACTACAGAAGGAATATAGCCATGTCTGTCTGCCCTTCCGTCTGGCTATCTGTCCGATTTAGTTCTCAAAGACTATACATTCTCCCACACCCCCAAAAAGGACGACAATAGGTGGCAACCACGATTTTGAATATACGAGAAACCCGAAAGCACACAATCATAGAAAAGTACAATATCTACCAGATTTCCGAGTTTTGTTTAGATTGGGTCATTATTATAGCCAGAAGGAAGAAATAAAATGGCAGTATCTACGCAACGCCTTCCCCGCGCTTACTTATTCTCTCTCTTCCTCTTGCACTGTGCGCCCTCTGCAGAGTCGCGGCCCTAGCTGCGACTTACAACGTTCCCGTACATGTTTTTCGGCCTCTTCAGATAAAACTTGGTCATCCAATAGACATGTGAGATCCCAAAATAAAATGGCTAGTAATTTGTTTGAATCGTTAAGTTTATTTAAAAATTGCATCCAATTTGGATGATTATCAGGCAGAACCTGCCCAAAAACATTGCGATTTACTTTCGAAAACGACAAAATTGGTGCTCCCGTTTTTACAAAACGCAACGTTTTCAAAACGGAACATATTTTATACAACAAAACTAATCGTAATCACAAAACGAAAAAAATAGATGACATATTTATGCATTTATAAAAATTCGGCACCATTGCCAGGCCAATTTATGTAGCTGGTGCCTTGCTTATAAATAATTTTTTGTTTCAACCCAACCTCAAATTTGCCTGCGAGCGTAACCTAATCGGTTGTGCCCGTAACATGCGCTCCCCAGCGGGGTAGACAGCTGTTTTCTGCCACATTTAATTCAAAATGTTAGTGCAACAACCATTAGCAATTTAATTTTCAATGTGCATGCTGTTACTCACAGCTCGTCAGACAGGTGTTGCATTTAGCATTTCTTGATCTTCTTGAATCGCGTACTTTATACCGTCTCACAGTGCACTATGGTCCAGAATTCGTTTTTTTTGGCATAAAGTCGAAATTTTTATGTGAATGGATTACGTTTTTTCTTGCAAATTCTCAAAGTAAATTCATCATACATATTAAAAATGAAAAAAAAAAAATTATTTAGCTTCCCTGAAGATTTTGGCGAGCTTTTGAAAGTGAACAATCGATCAGGTGATTGTGGGAAAAAAATTGGCGCCAAATTACTTGTTTACATTTTTACGTGGCGACCGAGTAAATTTGCTCAAATAAATTCGGCTAAAAATGGAAAATGAAGATAAAGGTATGTAGTATCTAATGTATTTAGTTATTTTATGTGTAGTCCCAAGATTTAAGTGTTGTGCAATGTCCAATTTATGTGCATTTTTGTAGAAAATTTAACTGCGTCCCCTGTGTTTCGTAGAATATAACAAATGAACAGAGTTCTGCTGAGAAAAACTAACTATGTGAGTTTGTACCTACAAATGTTGTAATTGACTGGAAAGTAACAACTTTGGCCCGTTTTGGCCCCTTTTCTTTAAATTTGTTAATATTCAGGAAAGTTCGAGTTTTTGCATAGCGATCTCATCGATATTTGGCGCAACAACAATCGACAAAAAAAATCTGTCTCACATTGAATTTACAGTAAAATCAATAACAACCATTTGGAAAATGAAAAAAAAAGAGAAATAGATAAAAAAAAATCAGTAATTTTGAATCCTTCATTAAAAGAAACCTTCTGAAGTGCAACAAAATGATGGAACGGTTTATGACCACCCATGCTAAATGGATGGCTTCTAAAATAACAATTATTGTTGATGAAAATTGTAAGACACCAAAGAAAATGGGACGTCCAACATTACATTATACAAATGCAGAGACAAGATTAAAAAGGAAACTGGCGTCTGATCTTGCAAATGATAATAATAATAACACGAATAATAAATTTCCATAGTTTATATATAAATATTGATAATTTGAAATAAGATATTATATATGTATAATGATTTAACAACAAAATTTAATAAATTTGAAGTATGTAATTTAAACTTCCGACTTTATGCAAAAAAAAAAACAAGAACAAGTACAAGTATACAAGTATATGTACAAAATTTAAAAGCTCTAGCTTTAATTTCGAGCTCTGTGTTAAACAAATCTGAGGTGCTCTGGGGAAGGGGGTCGATGGCGTGGTCGAATCTAAAACAAAAAAAAACCGAAATTTTATAAAAATACTCAAAATAACTGTGCAAAGTTTCAAGGCTCTAGCTTCAAAACTAGACTTTATGCCAAAAAAAACGACTTCTGGACCATAGTGCAGTGGAACACTCGGCCGTTTCAACTTGCTAATTTAATAACTTCTAAACAAATTAAGATGCCACCATGAAACTGCATTTGAAAGAAAAACCCTTCAAAATGTAGTCCGCACAAGTGCACGATTCCACGGCGTCTAAAGGTTTTACAATATTGCGTCAAAAATGAACTTTTGCCTATATGTATCCACTTTCCCCACAAATTTAATATACCCCTATACTCTTTGAGGATTGGGTATAAAAAACCTTTTTTTTTGCCCAAAACTCAATAACTCCAGCCTAGTGTAAACAGAATATACAACTTTAAAGATTTTGATTCATTTTCATGAACATTCCTTTATTCGTTCAGATGTTATTAATTTTGCTACGGAAATGTCAGAGGCCCCACTGTGCGACGCAATCGGCTCTCTCACCATCTGAAAGGGAAACGATTCAAATGCGCGCGCCCGCAACCAGTTTCTAACACTGAGGTGGTCGCACTTATCGGTAGAGGATTCAATCGAAATCGTGCAAAGCTGAGCCGAGCTATCGATAGCTGTTCATCGATACTTTCGGTCATTCGAAAATGAGCCCGCCTGGCTTTGATTTCTGGAAACCTGTTTTTAGCCTCGCTCTGTGCCAAGTCGTAGCAGCCTCTCGTTGGATCAGATCAACAGGTGAGGCAGTCTACGACTGCAAAGCCGTTGTTTCAGTTGCTGCTTGACTGCCGGAGAAGTTTGTAGTGAATTTTTTTGGTGCGCGGCGTGCCACGACCTACAACTACGACCACAAAAGAAATACACACTATCTCACACACACAACCACCAGTCACAACAAGATCTTTCTTTTTTTTTTGCTACTCACCCGCCTGTGCCGTTTAAATATAATTGTTATATGTAAAGCAACTTAAACTCGACCATATTCAATAAAAAAAAGAAAAAGAACAAGATCCGCCGCCACAGCTAAAGCTACGACTGCAGAAAGCGGAATCGTAAGAAGCAGAATTAGACTCGGCAATGAAATGTAGCAGAGTTCGTTCATCATCTTATGTGCATACATACATCATACATACATACTTTGTTATGTTCTGTGCGGTGACGAAGTGACGCTAAAAGCAACCACGAAGAAGCAGTCATAGAGAGGGAGAGAAAAAAACGACGAAACGAGCACAAAACACATTAAAACACAAACACAAACGCATACCAGCAAACGACACCAACAACACCAACAACATCGGCAGCAGCAGAACGGTTAACTGAAACGAAAAGCAACAATACAGCAAGTGAGTAGTGTAAAGAGAAATAGAGAGAGAGAGAGCGAGAGGTGAACACACATATGTATGTATGCAAAACTAAAATAGATATAACCTTTTGCCATACCCAGTACCGCTCGCTCTCTTGAAATTCAAATCCGAATTCCAGAGATAGGCGGATCAGAGGAAATGGTTAATAAGAAAAGATAGGATCGGAGGCGCGCTGGAAGGAAGCTACCTCATGACTGTAGGGAGAAAGAAGTGAAATATCCACAATCCATCTATTAATGCGTCCCACAATTCCAATCTCAGTGCCATTGCCAAGAAAATTATCTTTCTCATCCATCCACACCCCCCAGAACACTCACCGCTGCCAATCACAACTAAATATAACTACACATTGTATGTAAATATTTGGCAGTTCTGGAAGTGATGCAATCAATATGAATTGAATTGAATTTGGATATGAACGGAATGAATATCCTCCCCCATCCCATGGCGTGCACGTGTGTTTGAGTCATACATATGTACATACGAGTATGCATGTGGGAGCGAATGCGATCGCCTACAGTCCCTCGCCCCGCTGCATTTCCATTTCCATTTTGTTTTTTTCTCTTTTTCGTGTTATTGGAAGGGATCGTCCCAATCAGATTCCAGGCGTGTTCGGTTCGAATTGGCATGGCTACGATTCGATTTTCTCCGCAAATGGACAGCGACGGCGACGGCGACGGCAACGATTTGGCAAGAATACCAAGAACGATTGCAACGGTAAAGCACGGCAAACAGTTAGACGTGCAAAGAGGAAAAAAATCGACGAAAACCAGGCGAAAAGCTACATACAATAAAAAATTGGTAGTGGAAGCATAAGAAAACTGGTTCCGGCCATCGAGGAATGCCGCAGCGGCCCCTTGCTCGAATATTTGTTTCTGTGCGTGTGTGTGTGTGTGTGTGTGTGTGTCTGTGAGAGTGTGTGCGAGCC